TTGTTTTCCTTTTGTTTCTCCTCAAAAGAAATATTGAGGTAATATTGTTGGCTCGGTAGCTCAGCCTGATAACAATAAGTTTATGTTCCAGCAGGTGATGTGAGTCAAAATGAAGGTATTGGTCTGTATGTGTAGGTTTACGTTAAACATTAGTATTAAGATTCCCACTGTCCTCAATGTGCCCAGTCTAGAAAGGGCAATTTTTTTCTTTTGGCATCCTCTCTAATGAACTTGGTGCTTTTTGTACATTGAGTTGTTGTGTTCAACGAATGCCTCAACTTCCTGGGTTTGGATTTTGACCCAGGTGTCATGCATGTATCTGAACCAGTGAGATTGTTGTGTTCCCTTGTACTGTATGTGTTGAGTGCCCTGCTCTCCTTCTCCTCCATATAGATATAGGCAACAATGGGCTAAACTGGGAATCTAAAGGTGAACCCAAAGTTATCGCTGTATTTGAAGTATGTGGTTGATAGAAAAAGATCACAGATCTGGTTAGGTGTTAAGGTAGTCCTGCTTTTCAGGGTTTCATCATGTTTCAGCTGAGTCTTGACTGTGTTTACTGCCTCTAATGTGGGAATACAAGTGAAGACGGGTTAGATAAAAAGAAACAATGGTTTCATATGGAGCGTTCCAAAAAAATAGCTGGACTTTGGAATTAAAGTCTGTGGAGTTTTGTATTTGTTCTGAAGGATTCCAACCAATGCTTACAAAAATGTTGTCCAGTGTTGTGTGTCACTGAGTTTATACTGCTGACAATAAACCTGAGCAAGATCCCTTCTTTGTGTATTTTTCAAAGACCATATATGCATGGTACTGTATGGCCTCCGCTGGATACAGTTTATATTAGAGAGAGCAACAATGGTTTTTCTTTCTTTACAATTGTTGAAGATAATCGGTTATTTTGTATTTAATTATTTGTATGTACTGTCAATGATAACACGTTTTCTTATGACATCTCTTTTAGTAATCTGGTCAGTAGGAAATGGTCTGATAGGGCAACATATGTTACAGAAACATTAGAAATATTTAGACCCAATGACCAAGTCCAAAATATGTCCTTAATTGTGATTTGGCTCTTTAATATGTTGATTCAAAACTAAAGTTGTATGGGTATCACACAGTTATTGTCAATATGAACATGAAAGACTTAAGTAGTAGTCATGGTCAACACATATCACAGGTAAAAATTAATTCAAATCATTAAAACATTTTTTTTTTAGACTTCGGATGCATGAAAAGATTCAGAGACATGGCTTGAACAGGGCACTGTATTTGGACAGCCACATATCAAAAGATTTAAGTTCACCCAGGATCCCTTTCCTCCACATTAGGAAATCACCATACAGAGATCCTATGCTATTAAAACCAGTTTAAATACCTTGATCTAGCTGCTTGAGCTCCACATTGTATCATTTAAAAGTTGGATTATTAACTACTGTTTATCCTTTAGCTCTGTTCTTTCTGCCATATACCTATACTTTGCCATTACCTTATCAACCATTTTGGCTGTATTTATCCTTTGTTCACTATATTTTTGTTCCTGTTCCAAGGCTTCAGCAGGGTGACACTGCTTTTTATTCACATCATGTTCTTTTTTTCAGGGAAGAGAAAATGTTAGAAGCCAATAATTTTGCACCTGACCTATTCAGGTTAAATTGATCTCTCTTGAAGGGGTATCTCTTTTCCCAGAGGATATTAAAATTATAAATAAAGCCAAATGATCATGTAGCGCATGCTCAGTTGATAAATTTATTCAAAAAGCTTTGCTGTAGAGCTAATCTCCTGCTGAAGGAGATGAGGATATATATACACATATACTTTATATAGTACCATACATTGTTTTACATACATATAAACTCTTGGAGCAAAGCCCAAGAGCCAACAGTTCAACCCAAGATGCCTTACAGGAAGAACGCCACATCTTGATTAATAAACATTGATTAATAAACACATAAATTTTATATATATTTTTCTGAAATTTCTAACTAGAAATGTATCAGTTCAGGTAAATTTTTCCGAGTTACTCTTCAGGGCCATTAAAAGCTAATAAAAATAACTTTGACCTTAATTTTTAATTTCTGACTAATTCTGACTTTAATCTCATAATTCTGACATTTTTCTTAGAATTCTACTAATTCTGACTTTAATCTGACTTTATAAAGCCAGCTTTCTGAGATTAAAATCAGAATTCTGAGATCAAAGTCAGAAAAACGACAGCTTTTTTTTTGTTTTATTGAGTCCATTTTATTTAGGTTTTTCTTTTCTTCAATGGACCTAATCCTCTTGTGTACAGATCCAATAAATTGCAATAAATTTGATTCAGTTCACTTGAATTCAGTGCAATGCAGTTCAATTCTCTTTGTCTATATTTTGCAAATTCTCCAAATAGGGTAAGCAAGAGAACACCTTGCCATATGTTTGCTAATCTTTATAAGTCAAGAAATGGTTGCAAATAAAAAAAGTATTCATGATGAAAAAAATATTGATTTAATGGTTTTTTTAATCATTACAAGGTGCAATTGATGCACATCTGAGTTTTAAAAAGTAGGTTTGCACAAATTGACAAAACTGTGTCAAAAAGCATTTAGATGACACAAGTGTCACAGAAAGGCATCTCCATCACATTTCTGTGGCCAGGTGAACCTGTTTCAACAACAGCCCACTTTCCATCTGTTAGACAAATAGGCTGCCCCTACAAAGGTGTGCAAAAGAATCCCCATGATCAAAGTGTGCTAGAATGGCTGCCTTGTCTTGGCCTGGCCATTATCAGGCTGCATGAAAGCCTGTCTTCTCCTCTTTTGTTGGTCTGGGCATTGACAGTCACTCACCCGGCAATGACTGTCACACCGGCGCAAAGAGCCAGCCGCCGACAGAGGCCGACCACATCAAACGAGGCTGTCAAGGGGCCCAGCTTGTGAACTGTGGCAACAAACACCTCCTGATCCTCACCTACAGCTCTGTAGCAGACACCCACTGCTGTGCTCCCAGCCACTGCTGAGAAAAGATGTACTGTCCGGACCTCATTTCCTTCTTCACAGCACCCCTCCCCACTGCCACCAGCTTCCCTTGTCTCTCCCTCTTTCTGTCAAGTAGTGCTTGTGCTAACCTTTCGTCTACTGAAACACAAAGGCCCGCTAAAGACTGCTTTATGGGTGCATGTGAAGGAGAGGCTAGCATGGCGGGGGTCAAAAAGTGTACAGGATGTGAACAATATAAATTCTGGTTTACTTCAATTTGAACCAGGGTCACACTTGATTTTCACTTTATTAGGTTTAAACTTCAAAGGTCAAAGGGAGAAAGAAGACAATATATTTCAAAAGGCTGTGACAAGTACTCATTCCTGGATAACCTTGAGCATTTGTTAACTCTGTTGATGCATTTCTTATTTAGTTATTTCTTTTACTGAATTTTGAAAAAGAGGGCTGTTATCTTTAGAAAAATTGTATGAGTAATTGTTACATTTCTTTAACATTTAACCATTGTGGAAAGGCGTTTTATGAAACAACTTGCAATGAAATTTTAAATAATTTGATCTATACCTAGTTTCTAAGTGTGTGGCTGACATATTTACTCAAGCAGGAGAACATCAATGAAAATATGCTAATGTATGCATTTATTACATTAATAATACTAAATGGGGTGAACAAATTAAGAAAAGACTTTCATAGATTTGCTAAGTTCTAACGTAAGTGGATGAGTGGAGACTCCCACCTGGTGGACCAACAAGTCATTGTCTTTCCACACGACAAACAATGTAAATATGTCTACAATAATAATAATATTAATGATACCAATTAATAATAAATACCTACTAGGTTTCATCCATAAAGAATTGTAGAGAGATTTGTACTTTTATAGATTATAGAGACTGCTTGGTTTTGGTTTCTGTAAAATAAAGAATAAGATCGTAAAAAAAAATAAATAATAATAATTAAGAAAATGAGATAAATTTCTATGCTTTGGTGTTTGTGATGTAGGACTTGTGGTGCGGCTCCTTAAGACCCCTTGGTTTGAGAGAGATGGATGTGTCTTAGTGCCACTTTTCATCTTTGCTACAGAGCATCCCACCCTGTCATGGGATTTATTCTTTTATTTGTGGATAATGGAGTAAGGATCTCAGAGAATCCCATTAATTATATATTTCTAATCAAAACTATGTTTTTAGATTTATTTTCTAGGCTTAATTTTACTATATGAATGTCATTATTGGTTGTATTTGAAGCTGTCAATATTTTGCCGCTATTTATGTAAAATTAATAATAATCTTTATTATTGTTATTGCTACTGTTAAATATTTCTAATATTTTAATGACTTATTATTTAAGCGTTTTCTTCTATGTTTTGTTCCTGTTCCTCTTATTATTATCGTATTGTTGTTGTCATTATAAATCCTCATTATTAAATAGCTTCACAGTTGGAAAAGCCTATCCACATATAATATAATGTAATATTATGTCATATTATAAAATTTTATATGATATTATGTTATATTATTATACTAGTTTAATGTTATAATATGTTATTATAATATAATACAATACAATATAATATAATATATTATATTTTATTTCATTTTATATTATATTTTATTTTATATTATATTATATCATATTATCCACATACAAATGAGAATAGTTTTAGGCAGGCCTACAACTTTGTTCATCCGCAGACACATAAAAATGGACTGATAAAAAGTAAAACAATTAAATTAAAAGGAACTAACTAACTAACTAACTAACTAACTAACTAACTAACTAACTAACTAACTAACTAACTAACTAACTAACTAACTAACTAACTAACTAACTAACTAACTAACTAAATAAATAAATAAGGTCCTTTAAAAAGGAACTAGCGGCCTTCAGATTGCTGTTCGATGTTATCTGCGCTCTTCTCGTTAGACCTGGAATATAAAGCATTAGCTCTGCTCTTGATTAGCCAGGTCTGCTCTAAGATGGCCGCGTAGTGCAGTTGGAGTAACGCGGCTGTTACATGTCAACATGTCTCTCCTCAGAGTTTGCTCCACTTTAGGAAGGAGCCTTGGTCGGCGCAGTTTAGCGGACGCTCGCAGGTGTTTAGCGGAGCGCTGTCAGCTTTGTGTGTCGGTGAGAAGCGGAACAATCAGACGGATATCAGGTGAGCAGCAGCAGCAGGAGGGACCTCTGCTGCCTCTGGATGTAACAGTTTATCCTCTATGAAAAACTTCATTCTGTACAGTCGAGGCTTTTCGTGTCTGAAAACACTCTTATATCCAGGTTTTTACTTAAAACTTAATTATTTCAGCCAATATCTTTGTTAAATTCCCGACTCTCGACTGAACATTCCTTCCATGATGCATATCAGAAAGAGATAAAATCACCTATTTCTTAGAAAATGTACATAATTAACCACCTGCAGTCAGTGCTGTCGAGGCGGACATTACTAAGCGACCAGCTGTAACTTTAGTTGGTAAATAAAACGCCGATGATTAAGATCTCTAGTTTCTTCGTCCTTGGGCAAAACAGGCTGAGCCTCCATTTCTGCCTCATGTTTACAGCAGCGCGAGCTTCTCTAATTAGTCTGAGCATCAGAATATTGGTTTTAAATTTCAGTTTCTTCCCGTTTCTCTAGTTTATAGATGTGACAGAGGTCCTGGTCATAACGTGACAGTCTGTTATTGCAGATGTCTGTTGATCTTCATAAATTATTAAATTGGTTTAAAGTCAATAATTAGATCTTCCTGTCTGATGTTGCTTGCATCTATAGTCAAAACAGAACTTGGGAGGTTGTGACAAACAATATTTATTGTTTAAATATTAAAGAAGAGTGTATGAAATATTATAAATCAAGCTAATAGTGCTGCAAAGAGTGGCATTTTGGTGATTTTAATTAATTTATTTACTATTTGTGCATTTTGTGCTTTTTAAAATACAGTATGTGTTTTATCTGAAGCTTTAACCATAACTGTAGAGTTGCACAATAGTTGTCCTAGTTTCATTGTATGCATTATTGCAAATAGAGCCCTGCCTTGATGCAGGAGCAACTGGACTTTTATATTCTAAATAAATCAATTTACACTCAAGGTTGCAGTGGCATCTTTTGCCATGCCCATACAGTTTCTAGAGATTGTTATGAATAGAGCAAAAGCTCAAGGGGAGTTGGAGGGACTGAATGATAATGGAAAATATGGAAGAAAGGGAAGAAAAGGAGGAAGAGAGGAGAGAAGAGAGGGAAGAAAAATAATTCAAATACATGCTTTCCTAATCAGGCACACCCTAATTTAGAGTGAAAAACTTAACTTTTGGTTTTTGAGATTTAGAAAAATGTTTATATTTTATGGAGTTCGTGGTTGTCTTACTGATAGATGAACCTGACTGTTGTTTTTATTTTTTTAGGAACACCTTGGTACCTACAAAGAAGAAATGTTTCAACCGTTATCCCAAAATCCGAGGATGTAAAGAAACGTGTACATGAACAGTCTCAGTTGTTAGATGGTACGTTTGCTTAGATCGCATTTATCATTATGAATTCTCACTATAGGTCGGATAATCAGTTTCTATAGAAGTCCTCAACATGTATGTTGCAAGGCAAACTTATTTTTTTTTAAAGATAATGCATTACTAGTTAAACAACGTGCTAGTTTTCTAAGGTAAACACATTACTTTATTTGGACTAATTCGTTTTTGTTTTTCACTTTTCTTTTACATAGTCCTTGAAGCCAGGATCCAGCAACTTCAGTCCGACGTCGTTTTAGATGTCCAACATGCAAAAGTGCAATTCGTTAAAGCCCCCTCTTTTGAAGGGGGTGTTTCATCCGGAAGGACTGCAAAAGGATCCTCTAAGGACAAAAAGGACATTTCTAAATCTGGACAGATGGTTACGAAAGGGGCCTCTAAGTCTCAGCCCAGTCGCTGGATGGAAAAATTATCTCAGGAGAAGAAAAATAAACTTAAGAAACAGCAGGACGTCCAGCAAAAAATTGTTAAAGAGAAGCTCCCAGGGAAATCTAAAGGTAGCAAAAGCACCTTAATGCCAACTGGTACAACGCACAAAACAATATCTTCTGCAGCAAAGAAGAGCAGTGGGGGCACGAAGCTGTCAGAGGAAATGCGTGCCGCAGTGCCTTCAGTAGCTGCTGTCACTGCGACCGGCTCAGCAAAAGCAGCTCTGACACCTAAAACATTTAAGCAGAAACGGAAAGACTCAAAAAATAAGGGCTCTGATAAAGAAGCTTCAAAAACGACTGTCCCAGAGCACAAAGACAAAGACCTTGCTGAGGTTGAGGAGCTGGAAAAAAGACTCAACCAGCAAGTACAACATTGGACGTGTTTGAATAGCTCAGACAGCTTCCAAGAGAGCGGCGCGTGCAGCTCAAATGGGGACACCCAGTTCAGCATCCGCTCCTACCTGGAGGCATGTGTGTTTGTAGGGGATATTGAACGCTCGCAGAGTTTCCTGCTCAGTCAGCACAGAGTTATGAGTCGACGTAAACATCTGACCACAGATGTTTACAACATTATGATGAGAGTCTGGGCCAAAAAGGTAGGTGCCCCCTTCTGTTAATTGCTTTAAATTTAGGCATGTTACAACAAACCTCCTTAAGTTTAACTGGGGGTTTTATGTGGCGATAATACAAAGTAGAGCGGACATATCAAGAGGAAGGGATAGCGTACCTGTCCTTATCTGATTCCCTGCAGTGTGTTTAGGTGTAATATTGGACTATAACACATCAATATGCTCTTATCTAAGTCAATCCAGTACCTCTGGACATATGTACAGCATTTGTTTTCCCTGCTTGTGGGTGAAACTCAAGCCCCCTAAATAAGGACATATAAGTCCCTACTAATGGAGCTAAATTTTTCCCCATCCATCTCGCATTTAACTTTTAGAATCATCTCTTGTTAATTACGGAACATCATGTCTGTACGACGGAGAATTAGGGCCAGGCTAGAGAATTTTTTTTTTCCTTCTATTTCGAGAATAAAGTCGTAACATTATGTGAATAAAATAGTAACATTACAAGAATAAAGACATCATACCACAACCCGTTTGAGAAAGAAACACTGCATGAAAAGTGAGATTTTCGTCCCCGTAAACTCCCGCAGATCTGCCTGATTTTCGTCAGTTTCCGACAATTTGCAACCCGTGCTTGTCCGCGTTTGTCGTGCCACAAATTGTCGAAAACGTACCGTGACGTATGTGGAGAGCGATCAGCTGTACTAATGGCCCTAATTAGCATATGAATGCAGCAAACCCGCGCGGCTGGCCAGGTCTGGCTTGAATAACCTTCTCAGTATTGGCTGAAACCACTATTCTCAAACAAATGAAATCGCTCGTGATTGGCAGCAAAACCACATGTGGCCACGCCAGGCTTTAATTTTCTTACTGAGTATTGGACGGAACCACTTCTTTTTAAACAAGTAAAGTCGCTCGTGATTGGTTGGCATATATATATATATTTACATATATATATTTATTCATATATATATATTTATTCATTCATATATATATATATTCATATATTTATTCATTCATATATTTATTCATTCATGTATTTATTCATTCATATGCTGTGTATTTATGTTATCCTACACTACTACACAATTATTATGCTACCATCAAGGACATGAATGAATTTATACAGGAAATGAAGATTTGCCAGGAAGCTGTTTATGCAAAGAAAGAGCTTTATTAAAACACACACAACTATATACAACGCGTATCCAAACACATGCGTTTCTAAAAATTAAAACTCCGTGAACGGTCCGTTTGCTTCCTCGGGGTTGGAGGTAACAGGCAGCATTCCCTCCGAGGCAGGTCCGATGTGCAGACGCATACTGTGCGTGGCCTTGTACTTCGACATCGCTTCTAACCGGGACTGCAGCTTAACACAGAGTTCAGTGAGATCCGGCCTACGAAATGGCGGCGACCGTACAATCCATCCAGAGACACCGCCGACGACGCCATCTTCTTCGTCGGACATGAGGTCGACGGTGGCGGACTTCCAGAGTTCCACTTCCTCATCTGCTAGCACACTCTGCCTCGCCTTCAGCAGCTGAAAAAAAAAAACATGAATCAGCGCACTGCATATGGACACAACACATCTATCAATGCACCTGAAAAATAGTCACCAAATAAAGTCTTACCCTCTTTCTTCTGGCCCGACTCCGAGCAGATAGCCTGGCAGCCTCCGCACGCAGCGTGCTGGCTAGCAGCGTGTATCTGAAGCTCCTGCATACCGTCTCATAATACGTCTTACAGGCAGCTGGAAAACAATTAAATGAGAGTGGTATGAATAAAAAAAAATAATAAATCAAACGCAAGTCACAGTAACAAGGAAGGAGAAAACATTAAAACAAGTCACTTACACACAATGTCGTCTTTATCAACATCGTGCAAATCCGAGCAAATAGGAGGTCACCGCCTCATTGTGAGGCGACTGTAGTCTGTGAAAAAAAAAAAAAGTACAGCTATGGTCGGTATCCATCCGTATCCATGTCCTTTTACCGCAGAATGAAAGCATATTCTTTAAACCTTACCCCTGCTCCGGTTCATAGCGCCTGCAATTAGTCTCCGAGTTGTTAAGACGGCATAATGCTTCCTGTGAATCACAAAAAATACACTTTAATAAAGCTTTAGGCTAGGCTGCTTTTAGCTTACCTAGCTAGGCTAGGTTGTCTTTAGCTTGCCTAGTTAAGCTAGGCTGTTTTTAGCATAGCTACCAGTAATCGAACATATATTTACCGCTAGCGTGGCGTTGTGCACCCGTCTTCTCTTCCTCGAGTTCGTATATCCCGCAAAGTTGCTCGACTGCAGATAGGGTGGCCAGATGTCCGGCTTTAGGGCGGACAGTCCGGATTTTCATTGCACTGTCCGGCGTCCGGCGCTGCACCCAGCCGGACATGTATTTGTCCTCCTTTACCCCCAGATTCCACATACTCCGTCAGCGCTCCGCCCCGCTCACGTACGGAGTACTTGTCTGTCATGTAAATCAATGAGAGCTGTTCCACATCCTCCGCTCGTCACCGCCCACGTACGTCTTCTCCGTCCTTCACCGTCAAAATACGGAGCTGAGCTATTTTTTGCTCCCCTCCGGTCCGTCCAGATCAAGACCCGCTATTGCAATCGCACCAAACAGAAAAAAGAATGTAGAGAAGACCCGGTTTCTCAAATTAAGTTATAGTAAAAACAGATCGGTATCTAGAAATTAGAGCATAGTTTGTATATATTCCCAAAAACTAAGAGCAATTAATTAAATAATTGGATGCAGACTATTGGTGCTTCAACAGACCAGGAAGAAGTTGTGAGATTCTAGAGTGAATCTCACAACTTTAAAAGAAAATTCTTATTGCAGGAATGGATGAAGAGATGATGAGTTTGGAAGCAGAGAATAAACAGAGTTCATACAAACTATGTATGATCCTAGTTATCCCTGTTACAAAAATCCACAACAGAAAGAAAATATTTGGGCAGAAACTGAACATCTGCTGGATGATGATGGGGATTTTTTTAATATGTCAGATTAAATTAAGCGTTCACAGGTTTTATACAGGAATGAGGAACTCTAATTTAATGCTCTTTTAATGCTATTAGAAATAATTTTAATGCCATCAACAAGTATCATGTACACAAGTTATTAGTTTACATGAAATAAGGAGCTGTAAGCACAGTTCCATGACTCAAGTTTATATATATATATATATATATATATATATATATATATATATATATATAGATAGATAGATAGATAGATAGATAGATAGATAGATAGATAGATAGATAGATATGGATAGATAGAGAACATGGTGAAATCATCTTTACTCTCGACAGGCTGCAGCCATGTCATGAATTCCTCTTTTCCAGCCACTTTTTGCAGTTTGCATCGTCCTATTCTCTAGCTCTTTCTCGAGCTTCTTTTCCAAACAACTGCTTTATGATCAATTGCAGCAGTTCTGCGCAAATTAATTGTGTTAAAAAATGGTCACTTTTTAAACACCACAATGTATTAAATAAATACAAATGCTGGGAACCAATTCTTTTTTACATTTCTTTAATATTTTGTTCTATTCAGCTACACAAGCATCCTCTTTAAACTACTAAGAATTGTGCTATAAATGTGACTTTACCCGATTCTTATGTACACCTTAGTAATTTATTGATATGCCACACAATGTCCTCCTTTTTGGTGCTATAGAAATGGCCACCCTAACTGCAGAGCCGCCATCTTGTCCTCTATGGACTACAACCTGGAGTGCATCGAATTCTCCAGCTGAGTGCGGCGCTCATTCATGTCGGCAGTATGTTGGGCAAGCTGACGAGACAGTCCGCTGATAGCAATCAGCAGTTTCTTCTCGTCAGTCTGCGGGCTGGCCGAAAGTTGTGGACTAAGAGCAGTTGGAGGCGAGTTGAACGCGAGACGTCGTGCAGCCATTGTTCACGTAACAACAAAATACAAACACGGTAACTGGAGATGAAGATCTTCTGAGTATAGTAACACAAACATGTCTGCTAATATGCTGGTCTCGCGAGAAGTCGTAGTGCACAAAAGCTCACACGTGATTGGACGATGGGGCCGAAGGCTCATCAGGCTCCTCCAATCACATACGACGTCATTGTTATACGGAAGGACTCGCGAGAAGAGCTCGCGTCGCTCCATTCTGGAAGGTGGCGGTAATGCACCTATAAATTGTTTGCAATTGCAATTGTTTGTCTCCATAAGATTGAATTTGAGAAGGTGGACATTAGAGATAATAAATGCAACAACAAGTTTTTGAATCAATATTCTATAAATAATATGTACCCAGGAAGAACAAAAAGCACAGCTCTCTTACAAAATTTTAAGAAATCTATGATAGTCAAAATTAGGACAAATTATTTGAAATTCCCAATTCCTCCTAAATATAAAGAATTACAATTTAAAATAATAAATAACATATATCCTTCAAATGAGTTTTTAAGAGAGAGATTTAAGTTTAATGTTGAGAATTGTGGCTTTTGTACAACTCAATTGGAAACAACTAAACATCTTTTTTATGAATGTAAAGAAGTATTAAACTTATGGGATCAACTTCGAACCTTTCTGTCTTCTAAAACAATAAATTTAGATTTTATTTCCTGGCAAAACATTCAATTCGGTTTATCCATTAAAGAAAAAAAATTTGGAATTTTTAATCAATATTCTAATAATTGTAACAAAGTATTATATCCATAAATGTCGCTATGCAAAATGCTCCCTCTCAATCTCTGCTCTCAAAAATGAACTTTCCCTTTTCAAAAGATGTCTGAGAAAGATGCAGAATTTAAATGCAATTAAATTGTTTGAGTTAATTGAAGAATTTCAGTTGGTAGTCCCCACTGATTAATTTACTTTAACTACTATTATTATTTTATTTATTTTTATTTATTTTATTTTATTTTATACTTTGTTCCAGCCTGTGCATTTAATTTTATTTTTCAAAAGCAGGAGTTGTGATATTTCTTCTTGTATTGAAATATTTGTTATTGACTTGTTATTTGAGATTGTTATTGTTTTCTTATATATTCAATAACAAAAAAAAAAAAAAAAGTGGAAATCTAAAAAAAAAATTAACCATTACAGCCAACTGATTCTGATTAAAACTAATTTTTGAAGTAAATTATTTTGTGTATTTTTTTTACATAACATTTGCATACACAGTAATCTAGCGTACTTTAATTAAATAAATCAATTCAAGCTAAAATGTAAGAGTCTATAATTAGGCTATACTGAGCCTGATCTATTTCTACCATCTATTTGGGGGATATTTATTGCCACACTTTGGGCCACTTAAAACCAATTTAGCATGCTGACCTATGTCCTTATGACCACAGTGTACCAATCTTCTGATGGCTACTTCCAACAGGATAATGCGCCATGTTATAAAGTGAATCATCTCAGAATCATTTCTTGAAACTTTTCCACTTAAGTAATTGTGAATTGAGCATATTGACAGACAACATTTTATTTTTTATCTTAAATGCAAATTTAAAAAAAAATAATTACTGCTCTAAATGTATTGCTCTGTTAGCTAAAGATCTGTTTTGGTCTCTATACTTTAATTAAATAAATCAATTCAAGCTAAAATGTAAGAGGCTATACCTGATCTCTTTGTATCAGAGATTTTCTTACCCAGGGTTGCAGGGGGGGTTTTACCCCCCCCCCTGCAACCCTGGTTTGCATTTTGTATAGCTCACAGCATGTTCATTTACATGTTAAAGCCTCCCCTAGAATTCCATGGGGGGGAGGCATGGGGGGAACACTGCCTAAGAAATTCCACGTCAATTTCTGACAATTTACGGGAGTTTTCGTCGAAGCCTGCAAATTGCTGTAAACTGCCGCTAGCCTGAAGTTCCACGACAATCTACAGTGCCGTATATTGACGAAAATCCCACTTTTCATGCAGTGAAAGCTTCAAGCTCTGACCTGCATATAATGGCCGACTAGCAGCATCAAACAGTCCACTTTGACCTACTGCCCAATTTGATGCTGATATGCTAAATGATTTCCTTATTTGTCAAATCAGAGCCAACGTATAACTTCACATAATGCTCCACATTCCTCATTTTAGGGAAGAAAGTGCTTCTTGTAGGAGTTGTCATGAAATAAAACTTGTTTCACATAGTTTTAGGACTTTATTTTGTTAATATTACACCTTTATTCTCGTAATTTCACAACTTTATTCTCGGAATTTTACAACTTTATTCTCGGAATTTTAAGACTTTATTCTCGCAATTTTACGGCTTTATTCTTGTAATGTTATGACTTTATTCTCGTAATATTACGTCTATTCTTTTTGCGACTTTATTCTCGTAATATTCCGACGTTATTCTTGTATTTTACGACTTTATTCTCGCAATTTTACGACATTATTCTTGTAATTTTACAACTTTATTCTTGTAATTTTATGACTTTATTCTTGTAATTTTATGACTTTATTCTCGCAATTTTACAACTTTATTCTTGTAATTTTACGACTTTATTCTTGTAATTTTACGACTTAATTCTCGTAATTTTATGACCATTCTCGTTGCGACTTTATTCTCATAATATTCCGACTTTATTCTTGTAATTTCACGACTTTATTCTCGTAATTTTATGACTATTCTCGTTGTGACTTTATTCTCATAATATTCCGACTTTATTCTTGTAATTTTACGACTTTATTCTCACAATGTTATGATTTTATTCTAATAATTTTATGAACATTCTCGTTGCTACTTTATTCTCAAAATAGAAGGAAAAACATTCTCTATCCTGGCCCTAATACTCTGTCGTATGTCTGCCATTGTGCAATTTTTTTTTCCATTTCTTAACGTTAAATTTTGCTCCATCTTTTAAGTTCAGTGACCTCATTTTAGAGAAATTGTCAGAGTTTTACATTTTTATGTTAAAAATTATTCGCTAAGCACCCTAGGCCTTCAGAGAGCCCCTAAAGTGGACAAAAATTAGGAGGGGTACCAGAGTAAAGGGGGCTTGATGCACTCAGATGCTACACTTTTTTTTTATTGTAGAACATTTAGAAATTCTTGTATTGTTTTTATTCCACTTTGAAATGATGCATTCATTTCTGTCGGTCTAACAGACAAAATAAGAATTATACTTAAACTATGCAGTTGGGAAATCTTGAGAGATTAAGTTGTCAAAGCAAGTTAATTTCAGAATGACATCTTTCTAAAACAGTGTAAGTTGTGTATTCTTTGCACTGCATGCTTGGCCTTTGGATATTATATAAAGGCTTGTGTTGTAGTTTTCTTTAGCTTTAATATCACCTCAAACAGTACTGGCTATTTTTTTTTTCTTCAGGGCCTGTTGAATCAGATCGGCCGCATCTTCATACTGTTGGAAGAAGCTGGTCTGAAGCCAAACATCGGCTCCTACTCTGCTGCACTGGAGTGCATGGGTCGCAGTCCAAACTGCTCCCCAAAAGTGATTTCAAGGTACCTTTTAAAATGTGCAGATTTCTTTACAAAAACAGATCACAAAGGAATGCGTTTATCTTTTATAATTTTATTCATGATTTATTTTTTTTTTTACATTATTACCTCTATCCAAGTGGTTATATTCTTAGGAAAATTTGTACCTTTGTCTGTTAAAAGTTATGGACAGATTTTAATAAATTTTTTATGCGGCCTCATGCCAAAGAGCAATTAATTTAAATCGGGTAATTATTCAGATCATGTGTGAGTTTTAGCTATAGGTCATAATTTGGGGCAACATTTGCTGCTTGGTGGAGATCTGCCTCTTTGTATGACTTTTTAGGTCTGTAGAACTTTTGTCATCAACAAAGTAAGAATGATCTCCAGGTTGGTCAAAGTTTTAAAGAACAGATGGTTGTAGCAATACCAACTCTTTCCCCTAGAGGTCAGGCTGAGGGCATCTTTGCAATTTCCATTGTCATATTAAAATGAAATATTAATCTGTCTGAATTATTTGTTGTGGTAGCTTTTTATTTAAAATTAAGATTTACGTCAATCAGCCTGGTTATTACTAGGGCTGCAACTAATTATTATTTAGCAAAACAATTAATCTGTTGATTTTTATTTTTATTTTGAAGAATCTATTAATAATCAGAAAGCCAAAGGTTTCCTACAGAAGGTTTTTTTTTTTTACTAAATTAAACCAGGTGAAACCAGAGTATTTCCACTTGAGGAGTTCTGGATAGAGCATATTGACAGAAAAAGTTTTTTTTTATCTTTAATGCAAAATGTTTATATATTTTTTACAATTTTGACATGAATACATCTCTAAGCAGGTTGGTCTATCAGCTAAAGGCGTGTTTTATAGTCTTTATACTCCATTTAATAATAATTCAATTACTGAATTAGTTGAGGATTATTTCAATAATCGATTAAACTGATTAATTGTTTCAGCCCTAATTATTACATGCAATGACTATTTCACTTGGTGTTCAACCCATCTGTGAGGGACCAAACTTAAATAAGGACAAAAGGTGTTTCAAAATTGAAAAAAACTTTGATTTAATAATGTCAAAAATAAGTAACAAAGGCTCAAAAGGTAATACAAAATAGTTTAAATAATAAATATTAGCCCATCAGCTGAGGTCAACTAAACAGTAATCAATTCAAATAAAAAACTGACCTACTGATAAAGAACAGAGGCTCTTTAAAAAGGGATGGAATAACCTAACTTTCCACATGTGGGAAGCACAATTTAACAGAGAAGAAATAAAATATAAATATAAAACTAAAACATATTAAACATGTAATACAACTCTTTAACTTAACACAAATAATAAGTGAATATTAAGGTGATAAAATAACTAAGGTCAACTTAAACTAAATTCCCCCCTCAGTTCTTTGGGAAAGTGGTTTGTTCCTAACTTCCACCTCTAGCTGATCTGCATTTGCAGAACCTCAAAGAAAACAAGTGTGAGTTAAACCATTCCAAAATATTAACTAAGGTGTGCAACCATTAGAAAATATACATCTAAATGGAATTACAAACTAAATCTGAAACTAAATACGAACTATGAAATTACACAAACACTTTGTGGTGGAGGTAGAAGGGTCCTCCATACCATCCTTAATCTCTCTGATATGGCTCATGGCTTCTAGAGGGAAGCGTGGTAAGAAAAGGATCAATTGCCATTAAACAGCTGGTGTCTTCCAAGGCTTCATATTAGATTTTTTATTTTTTTCCTACACATAAGATTAGTCTTGTGTTATTGTGGCTGCAGGGTGTAGTTCCTCTGCAATTTATCTTAATGTATATTTATTATGTCTGCATAGAAGTAACAATAGAAACAAAATGTGGCAAATAATAAAACATGATTTGGAATAAAAGTAAAAAAGGTAGTTGGAAGAGCTAATCATAATTTTATTTTTTTTACACCACCGTGTGGCAGTTCCCCTGTGTTTTATCTTATAGTATTTCAACTGTTACATTAAACAACACTTGCTAAAAACAAACACAAAAAAATCTAATTATGAACCAAGACCTACAAAAAATGCAAAAAGGTTTTGATTAGAAAAAGCCTTAATATTACATTTGTTTATTTGTTTATTTATTATTAGGATCCCCATTAGCTGTGCTTTACACCCAGCTACTCTTCCTGGGGTCTGCATCATTAAAATACAGTATATAATGTAAATTCATGGACATGTTTGAAAGATGACAAATATAATATACATATCAATAAGACTGAACATTCATCTGTTTCATCCTCTTTTTTTATTTTTTTTAAAGCTGTATTAACTTTTAGGCAGTTTCATGTTTAACACATTAAATGTGATGGACAAAAAAGAAGTCTGCCAACTGTTCAACTTTGGTAAAGTTGTCCCTTAATTGAGCCTCATTTTATTGAAACATAAACCTCCTTTGGATTATTTGCATAAAATTCTTTAAAGTCGTAGGGAAGCGGCTGTTCCAACTCTGTTCCGAACTCTCTCGAGTGGTGCCCGACTTTTCATTAATTTAATAAAATGAATGTGATTGGTTGATTATCAAGAGGGAGGGATTGTTGCGGCAGAAGGTTCGCAAGCAAGTTTGATTGTCCACGGTTTCTCGGAAGCATCTTGCTAACCAGTTAGCAACTTAGTGCTAGTAGGTTCTCAATGGCAAATTACATTGGGACCAAGTAGCACTAAAATTGTGACTTAGAACAGACACTGTCAAGGAACGCTATGGACAGAAACATGCAAGAGGAGGAATGTTTTGTGTCGGAGGTCTTGTATGAGTCTCCTCCGTCATACATTTTTTATTTAGAGGAGGAAAGCGGGGACAAAGTTGTTGTGGAAGAGGTCACCAGGTCAGCAGAAGCTTGGTTTGGTGTAGAAGGCTTCCAGTCGTACATGTTTGAGCCCTTGCTTCGCAACACTGCCAGTTCTGTTAGCTCTATGCCTGCTGAAGACACAGACGTCCATCCCTGTTAACACTTGGATGTAATTCAATGGTAAAGTAAATATTTCTTATTTCTTATTTCAACCGTTGCGCATATTAGCTGCAACATATGAATCAAGATGCTATGACCGAAAGAATTTGATTGACAGATGACCGTTGATATATGATTGGACGTATTTAGGTGTACAACCTGACGTATAACTAACTGGCCGGCATAAAATAACAAAAAAAAAAAACAACACAGATTATAAGATAGGATTTTTTTTTAAATAGACATTTTCTAACTTTTGGGACAACATGGTTTTATAAAACGTACATTTATATACATGTTTAAGCTAGAATGATTGGAAATTAAAATATGACTTCCCTATGACTTTAAGCTGTGGTTCTAATCAGGGTAATGACTGGTTTGTGAGACATTTTGTTCCATCCAGGCCCCAATACCCTGACACAGTTGCATTAGTAATGTAAAACTGTGTCCTATTTATGTCCTGTTATGATTCCTGTTTCGGTAACCACATACGCAGGAGTCTATAAAAACAGATAATGGGAACATCAGCTTATGCTCTGTGGTCCAATAGCAAGCCAGGTGGCAGGGTGATAAGGTTGGCAGTGGGATCGGGTTGGTCCATCGATCTCTGTAAACTGATACAAATGTGACATTGCGGTTCTGCAGCCTTGCATTCTTTACCACGCTTTCTGTTATTTGAAGTTCTTCATTTTTTAGTTTTCCGTCTCTTTATTTGTAATCTCTGTTCTCCCATTAAGTCGCTTCTACCAAATCCTCTCCCTGAATGTACCTTATTTTAGTCTCTCTCTCTCAGAGCCATATGTGTCATCCCTTTAAGATTTCCTTTTTGGAAGTGCTGTGTCCTCCAGAGCTCTCTGTGTTCCCCAGTGTGCGGCCAAGCAGTCACCAGGCTGATTATGCTCTATCTGTCAACCTCTCTGCCCTTTTTGTTCCTCTGTACCACACTGCCACTTCCCAGACTAATCCTGCCTTTGTTCGAGACTTTCTCATTTGCTCAGACCAAAATTGCACGTTTCAGCACGAGTGTCTCCAAGGCAGGGGGAGAAATACCATGACCCCTTTGTATCACTGTACGGCTGTAGGGTTGCCATGGTCCTTTTGTTGTTATGCCGAACAGATCCTGGCTCTCGTCTGATTAGGGTTTAATAAGAAGAAGCTGCTGAGCTAGAGTTTTCTCTTGATGCTAATTAGCTCAGTGGTATTTCTAATTGTCTAGAGTAAAAGGTGTGCAGACTGAAGCCGAGTTCTGCTGTCCTCTGTGTCTACTGATAAATGGTTTTCTTACTCTCTTCTCTTGGCTTTGTAGTGTTGTTGTTATGGTGGCCCATAGGGGGCACTCTGAGCAAACGGACCAAATTTTATTTATCATCCTTGAAAGTTTTTCCAAGTTTACATTCCCAGGAAAATGGATGAAATGTAGCCAGTTTTATATTTATCGAGCATACATGGTAAATATGACACAAAGTAAAATGTTTAACTTAAAGCTGTTTCGAGGGCAGTTTTTTCTATAAACATATTCTGAACAGCATAACCTAATTTATCTTGGAAGACAAAATATGTAATTTGCAGTGCCTTGCAAAGCTTTTTATAAGCTATGAATATTTTAACATTTTGTCATGCTACGACCACAGATTTAATACCGGTACATGCCAAAAGTATTTGCTCACCCATCTAAATAGCTGAAATCAGATTTTATAAAAACTACAATGGCCAACGCTGCATGAAATCAAGCATGCAACTTTATCGACAAGCATTTTTGAAAGAACAGGTCTCTCTTATGAGCTCAGTATATTCCTGTCTGACACAATGCTTGCACAATGTACAACTAGTCCAGTCAATGAATGTTCTCACTTCTAAATATTGCCCTGACAACTTTTAATGGTAAAAACATAAAGGCAGTAAGGTTTCTAGAAAGGCGGCTTCACTCACACAAATTCACTTCACAAATAAGATACATTCAAATAACACTTATATAGTGGATTGCCTGGAATTCAGTCTGACATCTGACTATGCACAGATGTTTTGCAGTAGTTATAGATTTAAATACTGGATTTGGCTCCCGAGGGGGGACGTTAATATGCATCTTGGCTCCTAAGGGGGGAGGTTAGTATATATTTTAGCTCCCAAGGGGACACATTAGCAAACGTTTTAGCTACTAAGGGGGTCGTGTAGCACATTTTTTGGTTTTCAAGGGGAGCACTTGGGCAGGCACTTTTGCTCCTGAGAGGGCAGTTTAGCCCACATTTTGGCTTCCAAGAGGGCAGTGTAGCGTGGAAAATGGCTCCCGCGGGGGCACTTTAGCAAGCCCTTTGGTTCCCGACTTGGTGCACCTCCATCGGGGGCACTTAGCACACACTTTGGCTCCCAAGAGGGTAGTTTAACATGAGTTTTTCCATAATTAGACAATAGAGGGGCTGGAGGACTATTGAAGAACACTGGTAAACAGACACAATGATAGCAAAAGAATACAGCTGTGAAGTCGGGCAGAAGTTCTGCTTTTTTTAGTTTGCCACAAACCATTTAAATATTTGTTAGAAGATGCTCTGGTCAGATGAGACCAAAGTGGATTTTTATGGACCGAACATTGTGTATGGAGGGAACACACCATCTCATGGTGAAATATGGGGGTGGCAGCCTCATGCTTTGGTCATGCTCTTGAGAAATGTAAGCTGAGCTAGATACATGGCAGTCTCAGAAGAAAATTTTCTGTTACCTGCAAGAGCGCACCTTCCTGCATGACGACCACCGTAAGTATAGAGCTAGAGCTACAAGCAGATTAATTCAATCATTCATTCAGCAGACCTTAAAGAATAAAGCTATTTATTTGTGATAAATAAATATGCACAATGCAGTTTTCAGTTTTTCATTTTCAAAAACTCAAAAAGACAAATTTTAAAAACCACTTTATATTGATCACCTAAATTCCCATTGAAGCTTTTATGACTTGACAAAATGTGGAAAAGTAAGCGCTATAAATACTTCAGCAAGGAGCTGCAGTTTTATTAAACATATAATTTATATTCAAAAGAGTGTTTGCTCATTGGTATTATCAGCATTCTGGATTCAGTAATGAAGACTTCTTCTCCCTCGGGAAGATCTCCCAGTGATTCTATTCAAATAAAAATTTCACTGTTGTCGGGAGCCATCTGCGTCTGGATCAAACTGTTTGGCCTGACAGAAAGATCTTAAATGCAAATGCACAAATTTATATTCTGAAACTCTTCTCCATGTTCCCCCATCATTAAAGCTGAATAATCAGAGTCTGCAGGTTATTATCATTCCAGCATCAGCAAGTGGGTCACATGTCATAAACTTTAACTTCTGATGTAGCCATGAAATCAAATGACATTTCTTAAAATCGAAATAACAAGTTCTTTGAAGGCTTTTATTCTGACAAATATAAACTGTGATGTGTGTGATATCTTCGTTACTATTGAAGACGTTTTTTTTTCATATTCTGAGACACTTCTTTAACACGGGCATCAGATAAATATGCTTTTAGCTCCATTGCTAAGTATGTAATGGTATGTTATTTACAACTACTGTATACCCATAATTAATTTACTTGAGCTTTGTGTTTTAAATGACCGCGTTGTTATAGCAACATCTCAAAATATCATAAAACTAAAACCTCTGTAATCTACCTTGAGTTTTTTTTTTTTTTTTGCTTTTGTTCAATAACTTTATAAAGAAAATAGTTTTAAAAAAAACTACAGTATTCAATTTCAGCCTTTGCTGCTTGATATGCCTATTCCGTTTTTCTTTCAGTTTATTTTATTTTTTGATGTCAGAATGTAAAAAATGGCAAACACAGTATTGCTTAAGAGTTACTGGTTGATTTATTTTGTTATTTGGTCATGGTTATTATAACAAAGCAAAAAAAAAAAAAAAAAACACAACAAAACTTCCAGTATTTTTCAAGTATTTGGATGTAATATACTGTAATATTATATAAAGATATTTTATCTTAATCCTGTGATTTTGTGATAAACATTGGTTTTCTAATCTCTAAATGAAAAATTTGTAGGTTTATCTTTTTTAAGCCTTTTCTGCCTAATCCTTCTATATGACCTTTTAATGATATTTATCTACAATGTGAATTAGCCCAGACCCAGTAAAATATAACCCAGTAACATCAGCCTTGGTTTAAATTCAGCTTCTCGATCAGGTCTGATTGTTTATTGGTAGGTCAACTACATAAATGTTTTTTTTTTCTTTATTATTTGAATAGGACAAACCTCACCTTTTTTCAGTTTTTAAAAATTTCTGCCCATAGTCTAAAGGACATCTCACCTCTTTGCTTTGCATCTCTTTAGAAGTTAGCAAATGGCTTAATGCATGGGGGGGTGGGGGGGTTCCTTTACTTCTGTTGGATTCAAAATTCTACCTCCATCATGGAACCCTAGAATATTCTTTATTTCTATTAAATCTACTCGTTATGTTTAATAGCTAAATTAAAATACAGCTTTCACATAAGAGCTCACCTGCTCGTACCTCCTTAAAGAGAGCTTCTAAAATCAGCAGATTAGACTCTGATATCAGTTTTATGTTGAAAGTTTCATAAAAGCAGAACCTCCTATCCTCTGGCTGTGTCTCCTTGTCCAGGTGTCTGAATCAAATGAAGGAGGACGGCCTGTCTGTGGATGACCTGTTCAGCCATTGTGTTTTCCGACAAGATGAAAGGGACATGCTGCTGAAGGCGATTCAAACGGTGAAACCAGACTACGAGCCCAACCTCAGTTTGGATGAAAGCCAGTGTGCCTCGCCGCTGGTGCAAGACTTCTACACAAAGGTATGTTGGGTTGTGCTTAACGGTCTTAGTGCTGTTCTATTGGTACACTGAGAAAGAAAGTAATGGAACAGTAGAAATATTCTCCAAAATCTCTGAGATTTGCCTTTTAATCCTGGTGATCAGAGTGAAAATTCAATAAATATAAAAAAGGAATTGCATGCTTTATAAAAACAACAATCAAATACATTAATCTCTTATAAAAGTTTATCTGTGCATATAAAATATTTACATTTAGTTAGTTGTTTCTTATTGTCAAATGAAGCACCAGAGAGTTGGGAACGCTGTCAGAAGACTCCAGTCTGACTACGATTGATTTGATTGTCACCCATTAACAACCAGAAAGGCACATGCCTATTTATAGTCACCCAGCTCTGCCGTCTAATGGCTTCTCTGCTTGTGTTGCCTCCCTTCCTCTCACCTCTCCTCTTTTTTCTCACCTCCCTTTTCTTCTTATGCTTGTCACATGACTCATCAGCAGCTTTTTGAACAATTGCTGTATTTTTAGCCGCTGTCCAGGCACCATTTTTATTTTCCTCATCTGACTGACTGCCTTATTCTTGGCCTGATTGTGTAAGATTGCTGTTATCAGTGTGTGATATGTTTTTTTTTTTTCTTTTCTTTTTAAATTGTTATTTTGAGCTCATGCAGTGATGGTACAAAGACGGTACACTCTCTGTAAACTCCAGGGGTTTATGTGTATAATAAAGCTCCTCTTGCCTTTACCGGGTCCTAAAATAACAGCAGGTATAATCAGCCACAGATGAACAGCAGGACTTGATGTGCTTCATCCAATCAATATTTATTAAACAAAATATTTGGAAAATGTAGCATAAGTGTTTGATTTACAGCTTCTTGAATTCCCTCTGAACTGTTACAAAGCATCTCTCCTAATCTAAAATGTAAAACTAGTCTATTTCTGTATCATGTTTTCAAGTTTCTAGATTGGAATTTGTCTCCTTTACTGGAAAATTTAGGTTCACAAGGATTTCTACACACCATAAGCATCATCTTCTAGCTTATTTTTTCTTTTGTAACTGGGTTTGATTTGAGGGGTATCCTTTTATAACAGTTTTCTAATGATACTGCCACCTGTGGCCAAAACAGAAAACTGCAACACTCCTCTGCTCCTTCTCGTAGATCTTGCTTGTACTTTACAAGTTTTTTTTTTTTTTTTTACTTTTTCACCTTACATGGAGTTGTCATTGGTGTCTGGTGCCGGTCGCTTTTGGTATCTGTCCTGAATGTAACTAGAGCTGCAAGTAACGATTATTTTTCAAATCAATTTATCTGTTGATTATTTTTTCGATTAATCAAAGGATAATCATATAGCCAAAGGTTCCCTAAAGAAGAATTTTTAATAAATTAAAATAGGTTAAACTAAAACTTTTCCGTTTGAGGAGTTCTGGATAGAGCATATAGACAGAAAAGTTTTTATTATCTTAAAAATAGAATACTTATTTATTTTACAATTTTTGGTTGAATTGCTGTTTCTCTGTCAGCTACAAACACTTTAACTGGAGTCTCAATACTAAATCAATTTAGTAATCAATTACTAAATTAGTCGAAGATTTTTTCAATAAGCAATTCATCATGATTAAGCCAATTTATTGTCTCAACCCTAAATGTAAAGCTACCATTGTTTACTAGGTCAGACCCATTTAGTTTGGACACGCTCACGCTAACGACGTCACATTTGCAGAACAGTGCAGGGAACTTCTGACCCCAAGTAAATTAAATAAAATAGGCTACAGGTTTATAGATTCACCGACGCTGAAGTACTGAGGTGTCATTCTGCTCAACAAACAATGTTTTAGTCGTAAAGAGTCAAATAAAAAGGATATTTTAAAGATATTTTTCAGTAAAAACTTGCATGTCTCTTTCAGCTCACTCAGTAGAATCTGTAACTCATGTCTCAAAACATGTACTATCAAGGTGTCTATAGTGTTTTTTAGTTTGTATTCCCTTTTAGACTCATTTGACACAGTTTGTCTACTCTAAGTCATTCTGCTAAATGTACCAGCTGTCCAAATAAACCTTTAAAGGCTTGAATTAAACATTTTTAATAGGTTTGGTGATTACAGAAAAAACATTGTTGGCTTATAGTTATAAAAAAGGCAGAGCACTAACAACACTCTTTAATAACTTAATACAACTCTGCTTTTATTTCAGCTTTGAACTTTAAGTTTTGATTCAAGTACTATTCCATCAGACGGGAGATTTCCATTCATTAGCAAAAAAAAACAAAACACCTTTTGACAAATCATAGTCCTACAAACAGGAAAAAATTATTCCTGACAAAAAAGTCTTGTCAATTTGATAGTAGTTGTTTTCACAAAAACATAGACCAAGCTAAGCGCTTTTTGGTCCTTATTCTCTTTCTTTTTGAGGAAACCATTTAATATGTAAATTAGAGCTGGTGCTTTAAAAACTTAGCCTCAATAAAATCAATTATGTGTAATAAAAGGCAATAAGAAAGAAGAAAATTTACACTAGGCATGGGCTCAGGTACATTATGAACTAGCTATTTTTAACCTGTTAGAACTTTTTTTAGAACCGGGTCTTGTTAAAGACATTTGGCCAAAATGAAGAGGATAGCAGTCGCTTCTTGAACAGTTCCTAACTTATCTAGCACTGGCTTTTAACACTAGGGCCAGGGTTTGTCTCTATGGAAATGCAAAGAGCTGCTGCTTAGTGAGCTGTAGTACTATTAGTTCCCTTTTACAGATATTTATGTAGGTTTATATATACAGATTTATGAGTGCTGAGTTTTATTCATTTGGTGTCAGAGCTCCGAGGCCACAACATGTCTAAGAGAGAGGGGGCTGTTTATATTATTAGGGAGTGTTTGGCCATAATATGAGTTAGTTCTTAAGACATTTAGACTCTTTCTTCATCTATTTAGTTTTTACTTTGGGTAGAGATGTTTTTTTAACTCTGACACAACCTTCAGATCTCCATCATTGTAAGTAACGAAGACAAACTCTGGCTAGATCAGAACAGGGCTGAAGACCATGCAATAAGGGCTGTATGATGTCTTGTTCTCTCTTTGCAAAGATTAAATAAAATGGCGACGGAGTGAAATCCATCGAGCTCTGTTTATTAAACTGGAGTGAATAGTTGAATACCCTTTTCCCCACAACTGTTATGGTTCTCCCCGTTTGGGACTCTGAGTTTTTAGTTTTCTGTTATGAGTTGTTCTGTTTTGTTCTTTGGTTCATTTTCCATTATATTCAACAGTCTTTAGTTACTCTCTGTTGCCCCCTTGTGCTCGTTTCCTTTCACCTTGGCTTCCTTCTAGCTAGATCCACTCACACCTGCTCCTCATTTAGCTCATTAGTCCATCCTTTGTTCTGTTCCCCTTAAATGTTCCACCTCTGCAGTGCTGGTTCCTTGTTGTTGTTTCCTCATTTCTGGCTCCTCGTGTGAATTTTCCCCTAAAGTGTTTTGGTTCTTGGTATTTTTGTTCTTTGGATTTTGCTTCAGTTTACTGATTAAATCCTCAAGACTCACCTCTGCCTCCTGGGGCCTGTTTCAATAAGGAAGTTCAATCAACTCTGAGTTAAAACTTGAACTCTGAGTTGACTTATCCTGAGATTGGAAACTCTGAGTTTTGGGTTTCAGAACAGCTGAAATGAGTTAGTTCAATCAACTCTAAATTGACTGACTCTGAGTTAAGCGCGTGCACCACAACTATAAAAAGCCATTATCAATGGAGCACAGATATTACGAGTCACCATGGCAACAGCGTCAGACAAAAAAAGGTGTGCATATTTCTCACCAGCAGAACTGGATGTGCTTATGCAAGCATATGCAGAATTTGAACATGTATTTAAAAAAAAAAGCAACACGGCTGCAGTGGCGAAGGGGAGAGAGTTAGCTTGGGTGAAAATAGCTGCTCGAGTCAATGTGTAAGTTTACATTGTAATTACTTTTATACAGTGTTGGGTGTAATGAATTAAGTTACTTAAGTCATATAAATACTGTAATTAAATTAAAGACTATAAAACAATAGTGGATTTAATATCAAATTTTAAAAGGTATATTTTGATTTGAACTTTCTCCCTCTAGTTACACACTTTGGTCAATTTAAGATTAATTTATGCAATTGAATATTGTTTATTTGAAAGCATTAAAGGTGCAGTTTCTTGTCTCTCCTTGTATTGTTCATGTGGTTGAGGTTGATTTGGGATTTAGAAAGTAATTAATAAGTAAGTAAAACAAATTAGTAAGTAGACCAATACTTTCTAGAGACAGTAATTATTACATTAATCTAATTAGACTTGTTGAAGATAAAATTTGTAGTTAGTTATTAAGAACTATTTTAGAGTAACTTACCCAACTGTTATAATATCAGAGGTGAAGCTGGAAGAACAGTATTTTATTAAACCTAATTTAGTTTTCATGGATAGGTGCAATCCTGCAGGCATCAAAAGAACATGGCAGGTGCTGAAAATGAAATATAAAAACATACTTCAAGAAGGTAAGCCTTGAGCACATCATGGGAGTAGAGTAGCTACCTGGCTTTACAAACAGGATCATCCATAAAAGGACATGCCATTTCATTACCTTTGATGCGCTCTACGTGACTGAAATGTGTGCAATGAATACTGTATGTCCCCAAAGAATCAATGAGGTGTTTAAACACCACTTCCTCTTTAAAAAAGGGGAGGAGACCAAAATAAACTCTGGATTTTCTGAAGAAAACCTGCTCCCCACCAGGTTAGGTTCACAGAGTAAATTCCCATGGTAACTGACTCTGAGTATAAGTTACCTCTCTTTCAGAAACGGGCTTGACTTACTCTGCTTTTTCAGGTTGAACTTACCTCCCTTTCTGAAACAGAAAACCCAGAGTTTCCCTCATTTCAGCGTTAACAAACTCAGAGTTTTCACTTAACCTCCTTTCTGAAACAGGCCCCTGAACTCTTCATTCGGGTCCTCATTCAACCTCACCATTGTTGACAACAACAGTTCCTTTTTCATTTTTATGCTGATTGTCTATAATGTTAAAACATCTTAATTGGTATTCAAGCAATTAGAAACCAAAGCTCCTTCATAATTGCTGACCACTTTTGCATGTTTTTTTTTTGTTTGTTTTTTTTCCTCAGGTATTTTTACATCCCTGGTGATAAGCTTTAGTCATTTAGAGTTCAAAAACCAATCCATCGTCAAAAACATAACATGCTTCACAGGGTTGTACAACAGATTACAGCCATGGCTCTTTCTGAGCCACTCCAGAATGTCAATAATGCATCCAATCAGAAAATACATGTGGTTTTGGGTTATAATTAAAGAATTACTTTAAACTTGAATATTGCAGAGTTATTCATACGGTTTGGGTAAAATCTTGGCTTTTTGTGATTGAAAAAACAAAAAAAAAACAGTTCAAATCTGCTTGTTTCTTTTCAACCAGCCTTTGTCAAGATAGATGTTTGAACATCCAACACTACTCTGACTGTTTGGCAGGTCACAGGAGCTTAAAGGCTGTCCAAATAACTGGCTCACTGGATAAGAGAGGAGCAGCCCGGATGGCCTCTGGAGAGTTTTGAATCTGTGTTTGCAGCAGAAGCCCGGTCTAATTAGAACATTGTTTGTTGGTGTAAAAATGAATTTTGATGAAGCTGTGGATCGTACAAAATGCAGTTTGATCTAGTTTCAACGTGTCTACAGAGACTGACGTGTTTTTTCTCATTAATTTATTTTGGCCTGCATTGCTGTTAATCTTGCGTACCCTGCAAGGACTAAATATTGCCAATTCCCTTCATTTAATCTTTCTTTCAATCACTTAAATAACTCAAGCTTTGTTGGACAAAGAAAAGCCATCTTACTTTAAAAGTCAAACAGCGATATCTGGTTAAGGACTTTTGCTTAAATCTCCACTTTCTCTGCTTTCTCCGCACTAATTAGACATTACAAACACATATCCCAGTTTGCCATAACATCCCTTCCTAACAGTGTTTATCTTCCATGTTTTTCTGCTAGACTGGCCCTGATCTGTTGGAGCATGAACTTTACAAGACATGTAGAGATGCTGTCATATCTGGCATTGGGTATTGAGGTCTAACTTTATTAAGTTATGTAATTTTCTTCCATGGATCAGTCTTGTGTGGCCAGCACTCCCTACAGATGACTGGACAGAGATCTGGGAAACGTAGAAGCCAAGTTTATACTTTTTATATGCTTTGCAGCAGTGGACAGTATTTTGTTATAATACCCCACAGCCTGCATGGAGTATGGTTTGATGAAAGCATGGTCTGTAGCAATACATTAATTGTGATGGGTATTACGCTGCCTCTCCAGGTTTGTCTTGTCTTGTAGTGCATCGTCATGGGACATTCCCCAGTTAGAAGAGGCACCATGCCCATCCATTTGATGTAAATAGAGCACATTTTAACTCAGCAGGTTGCTTTCTGCTTCATGGGTTGATATTTTGCTGACTATTTTTGGTCTTTTCATTAATGGAAAATAGTCTGCTTGTCCAACCCTGTGGTTACGAAACTCTATGCATGACAAAATGTGGCTGATATTGTGTAGCTTCCTTCTCAAAACAGTATTCATTTGTTCAGCAGTCTGAGCTTCTGTAGCTTGAATATTGGATTAAAGTAGGCAGGCCTGTTTTCACTCTTTATTGATTGATTGACTTTATTGATCTCACAGTGGAGAAATTTACTCGTTACATCAGCTCAATAGTCAGATAACCAAGTGACTGGAATAGTGTACAGGGACATCTGTGCAGAGTATGGGCTGGAAACCTCAAGGTCAAAGTAGGAAACACCTCCAAAGATGGCACTGGGACTTCCATATACATACGGTATGGTAATGGCAAACCATTGCGGTGATGGACAAAAAGCAAGGAAACCTGTTGTGGTTGACATAGCAATATGAATTTACTGCAACATTAGGAAAAAGGAACATGAGAAAATAGAGAAATACCAGGGGCTCAGAGAAGCGCTGGAGAACACCTGGAAGGTTAAGGCATCAGTGGTGCCTGTCGTCATTGGGACACTTGGGTCAGTGACTCCCAAACTCGAGGAGTGTTTAAGCAGATACCTGGTAATTCAAGTTCCACTGGACAACAAAGTCCAGTGGATTTTTTTTAAACTTTTTTTGAATGGAGCCAGTATTGCTTTTCTTCATCCAGGAGGCACAGTTTGAAAAGAACAATGTTAAAAGCTCTGCCTTCCTCTCTTCCCTTAGTCGAGGTTGGTGTTTGGTACCCTCTCGGTACCAACCTTGGCAAAAGTACCATCCATTAGGAAAGTGTCAAGGTGAAAACTGCTAGTTTAAAAACAAGCAGAAAAGCACTAATTATGTAAAATGAAAACATCAATATATTTCCCTTATGCCCAAACCTGCTCTGTGTACTATTTGAGAAAAGCAAAACTATTTTAAGGCTGTGTATTGATTTGCATTTAACACTAAACTAGAATAGAACTTTGTGCCGATGTTATAAATAATGATAAATAAAAGTTTTCCAAATTTTCTAGTCAAAGTCGAGCTTTAAATCTGATTAAGAGGTTATGTATAATTTTGTTAAATAACTTTTGGCTTAAAAAAATAATGAAAAAGTTAATGCTAAATATTGTGTTGTTGTTTCCTTGCTTACATCTCCTGTGTTAACCTTTGAAATCATTACTCTCATGGAATGGTAAAAGCTCTGTGTTTGGCCATAATGGAACAAAAGCTGACAGCAATAGTTTCTCACCACATAAGCAGACGTTCAGAAATGCACAAGCCACCAGACAACTGCTGTTAACGTCCTCGCTTTATAGGCAGATGTGAATGTAAACATGGTACCTTACAAGCATCTGTTTACACACGTCATCCAGGATGCTGGTTTCTTCCTCTGGTGTCTAACGCTCAGATGAGATGTATTGATGGATGAGTTGGATGACTAACGAGTAGAGATCGGCTGTTGGCATATTTTCCATTGTAGCAGGCAAAGCAGCTAAATCAGAATACCATCAGTGTCCAATTGTTATGGGATCAAGCTAGAAGTAAAGCATTGGTATGCCCAGTAATTATGTTTTTCTTTATTGTTTGTTTGTCTGGATTTTGATTCTTTTAGAGAGAGCACCACACTTACCCCAAGCTGGACTTCACCCAGGAGGAGCTCCAGGAACGTTTTAAACGTCAGCTCATTGTAGAGAAGGCCTGCACTGTCACCATTGACTCCGTTGAGTCCATCAAACCTGTCACTGAAAACATGGCCAAAATGGTAAATATAATCTCCCACACAAGAAATATCTTCCCTACTGAGAACCCCTACTCAAAGGGTTAAGGTTTTCTTGGTTCTGTGAAATAATGTTCATACACACTTGAGACATTTTAGTATGAAACATTCCATTTTTCTGCTCTGCCTCTTTTCAACTCTGGCATTTCCAGCATGGCCTGGCTTGTCTGACTCTGCAGATGGGCTATGTGGGAAGCGAGAAGGCTGAGAGTCCCTGGTGGTCCGGCAGCATTTACAGACTGCCAGGACTGAATAATTATGCATTGTAATAGAGCCCTCTGGAGAGAGTGTGGAGTCACATCTCCATCCAAGATCTGAACCAGGGTTTCTACTTCATTCAAACTTCTCTGACACTTAAACTTGTGCAACAAAACTGCAAGAGCTGCCAAAGTGTGACTAAATAGCCATTTTACTCCTCTCATATAAAACATAGAAAAATCAATGAGCTTAGCCTGCTGTAAACAAACAGAAACCTGTTTTTGATATCCTTTATATTTCACATTTTGGCTACCATAGTGATATATAAACTTCATAAACTATTTGTGTGGAAAAAATGAAAAAGCACTGGTATTGACTAAAAAAATAAACTAGTTTATTAGTTTTCTGACTTATGAAGGTTAAATATTTAACCACTTGAGATGTATAAGGTTTTATTTAAACAACCAACTTCAATGTTTTTTATTTTAATTTGTGGGATCAACCACAAAACAAAAATGTTAAATGGAGTAATTTAATCTGTAAAGGCCTCGAAGGATTGGTGGGGAATATTAGTTGGCGATCGGCATCATGTAGACCAGGAAACCTTAAAGATAAGGCATAGAAAATGTTATTAAGAGGCTTAAAGCAGGGTTAGATTATAACGCATCCTAGCCTTGGAAGATCTTATGAAGCCCTAGTGGACCAGAAATTCCAAAATGGAAAGAGTATGGCACAACTCAAAACCTGCAAAAAGAGTAAATATACCTAAAATCACCCTGACCCAAAGCCCTCCCACCCCCAACACTCTTCAAAGTATATGCATATGTAGTCCAGACTTAAATCTAACCTAGGAACTAGCAGTTCAGTTCACAGAAACGCCATCCACCCAGTCTGATTGAACTTGACCTGATTTCCGTCTATTCATGTACCGTACACCTCCCTCCACTTTGCCTTTTTCTATAGATCTCTAAAAGCTCACAGGTTCACAGTCGTCCCCTTTAGGTGAAGAGCTATGCATCTCCCAAAAACTAACACTAATGGGTCACTGAGCTGCTTCTCTGATTAATTTGGCCCTTGCCTTTCAATTAAAGAGAACAACCATTTCTTCATCAGCTTGGAGTTTTGCTTTATTCTTTCCATTTTCAAGCAAATACTAGTTTTGGCTCTGTGTTATGTTTAAGTCTTACAGTAGATGTTTATATTATATTAGTTGAATTTGATTTTTTTCATCTCCATAGAGTTTTTTCTGGGTGTTGATAAAGTTGCTGCAGGTTGTTGCATAGAAATCAGAAAATCAGGGGAGGGAGAAAGAAGGAAAAAATGGGGGTAAAAAAGAAGAGAAAGAGAAAAAAGAAAAAGAAAGAAATAATCAAATCCATGAATGAATTACTTTGCGATTGCATTTTTCTGATAACAGCTCCTTTGCAGATCTGTTGGTGTCCCTTCGTATGTATTTTCTCTCCTGATGCAGGCACATTTACAGTAAAAAAAAACAAAAAAACAAATCCAAAAGGTTTTTGCAGTCTCAGATTTATAAATGCTGCTGTTTAATTAAAGTTCACGTCTTAATGGCACCTTAGTTTATATTAAGATACAGATCTAAAGCTTTGTTGTCTGTTTTGGACAGCATTAAATTAATGGATAAAAACAAATATATTTGATATGTTATACATTTTATAATTGTACAGTATCAAATTACCTTCTTTTTCATTTTCTATTTATCTTCAAGTTATATTAAATATTATTAATACTGTTCTGTTCTTTTTTTTCTAACGCCTCTCATTTTCTTAAAGGTACATACCAAATTTTTCTTTTTTAATCAGTAAATATTCATTCACTCTAAGATGGATGACCTCCAGTTGTGTGATCTTTCAGAGGAAACTGCTGGCCGAACAGCGGGTAGAGTGGCAGAAGGTCCTCCTCCAGGCGCTGAGGGAAAGCAAGATGATCATGGCCAAAACCAACACCAAGGACTACAAGCTTAACCTTTATCCATATCTGCTGCTGCTGGAGGATAAGGAGTATGTTGACATTATGATACAGGTAATACAAGCCTGCTGAACCTGCCGCTTAACAAAATGTCACAAGTTCATGGTGTCACAAAGACTTCCCTGGATTTAAAATGAATGTCTTTGAAAGGCATACCCCGTGATTTTCCCTAGACTTTTTCTTATTATTATTGTTTCGGATGATGGAACATCCAAACTAATGTCTATTGCTACTTTTGATTCAATTTTCTTTGCCTCTGATCCCTCGAATTGTTCTGTATTTTTTATTTTTTTGCAGAGTGTTACCAACTTGCCTCCTAGTGGAGAGTCACTTAAGATTTTAGCTCGAGATCTGGGCAACAGGATCTACACCAAGTATTGTGTGAGACAGAAGCAGCAGAATCAGATTGTAGAAAAGCTGGGAAGCATCTATAGTGCCTACACAGATCTGCTGGCCAAAGATACCAAGGTAAAAAGATAAGTCATAATTACCCATAAAAAAACACCCTAAAACACCAATTCTAAATGGGCAGTTTTATTATGCAAATAATATATGAAAGAAGTATGACAATAATCCCTTGACCTTTCATTTTCCTTTCGTTAATATTTGATTTGATTAATATATTTTTTACTGAATCACATTTTAAGTGATGACAGGGCATTTTGCTGAGGTCATAGTTAAACCCAAGCTGTTTTCCACAAAAAATACTCTGATAAACATATGTTAAAAACAAGCTATCAGATAAACAAGGGTCTGAGTTATGTTTCATGATTCCTGTTGGCCTTAAATTTAAACTGAAGCAGTCTTTAATTTATCTCGCCAAAAACCAGGAGAAACCCAGAACTACTAGATTATGATTAAGATTTTACAGAAATAGAAATATTCTGTAATATAAAGAAAACTCCTGTTCTAAGCTAATCAGTTTTATTGTAATCTATTTGAAGAAGTTGCCTAAAGTGCTGTATATACTTTAATCTGTTGTGTAAATTATATTCTGTTTTAATCTTCACTTTAAATGACATGATCTACTTCAGACCTGATTATAAAAATTTAACTAACATCTTAGAAAATGTGATATTATTGTGTATTTCATAATCAATCAGCTCTGCTACATTTTGAAGCCTAATAGACTTCCTGTGTTGACTTAATGGGGATCTGCACTCTTTGTCTCTGTGTTTAGATGGCTTTTTAAGCCCTTTGGGAAAAAGCTAGCGGTTAAAGAAAACAGGAAGTTAGCTAAGGTGTTTTTTCTTCAATCCGGGGTAATTTATATACAGACTTTGTAGTTAAAACAGAGACATTTATAATATTTTTAGACCAACACATCTAAAAGTTCTACCTCCGATATTTGCTTTTTCTAGCACCAGTTTTAAATCTAAAAGACATGAAAGAAACTGTAACTTAAGGGTTGATATTCATATTGTAATGTGATGTGTTTCGCTTTAGGTGAACAATGTCCTTCCAAGGGAACAGTGGTGTAAGCTGGAGATGGAACAGCTTTCAGGACCCACGCTGCAGGGGGGTGAGACCAGCTGGCCGTACATTGTAACTCTGGAGCTGGGCACCTTCATGGTGGACATAATGGTGAAGAACCTTAAAATCCACAGTGATATTCTGAACCCTGCCTACGACAGAAAGCTCATCCCCATCCTCTACCACATGTATACCTTCCGCAGCACCAGACAGGTACAGTTCTTTTGTGTGGAGCCTTTCTGATGTAGAATTGCCCCACAGCTGTAACCAAAATTGTACTTTTTTTTCACTCCGTACCTTCACTATTAATTCCGTGGTGCAGAGAAAGAAAAGTGTGTTTTAGCATCAGATTTATGGATGTCTGGGGGACAGTAATTCGCCTAAATCTTATGAATGCTGGCGTACCATAAAGAACAAATTATGAACAGTTTATTTGGTGCCTTCAAGTCGTCGCCCATAGGAAGACGTTACCTGGATATAACTTTACGGAATATCTTCAGAACAGCTCAAAATGACACAAAACTCATATGGGTGACTAGAACATGATGTAATAACGTAAAATCAAGGGCCAAATGTGTTCCCCTTTAACCGGAGTTGACATCAGTGTCTTGAGTTGAGCTGGATGCCGGTCGCTTCTTCATATCAGCAAAATTCATCTTAAATATAACTTTTTGATTATTTACTATATTAGAACAATTTATCATGGACACGCTTGACAATATATCCGCCGAACAACGCAGAAACTTCTGACCCAAAGTACTTTTGGAAAATAGGCTACAGGCTTATAGATGCATTGATACCAAGCTGCTGAGGTGTCAGTCTGCTCATCAAACAATGTTTTGCTCATAAAGGGTCAAATAAAAATGATATTTGAAAGATGTTTTCAGTAAAAACTTACATAATTTGCTCTTTTAAGGTATTTAAAGATTAGTTGTGATTTATAAACCATTGTGGTTTGATTCATAATTCTGAATTGTTTTGTTTACACAAAACTTTTGTAATTTTTGAAAATGTTAATAATCATTAAGAAATCAAAGTTACCAAGGAGCTGATTTATGCAGTTTTGGTTGGGGTATTTTAATCTTAGGCTACGTTCACACTGCAGCCTGAAGTGACCCAATTCCGATTTTTTTGCCCATCTGTGACCTGTATCTGATCTTTTTATGACAGTCTGAACGACACAGATCGGATTTTTTCAAATGCGACCCAGGCCACTTGGATATGTGGTCCTGAATCCGATACGTATCTGATCTTTTCAAATGCGACCTGTGTCTGTACGGCCAGGTCGCATTCATCCAACCTACACGTCATTGATACTTGACAAATGTTACTAAACGTTACTAATCTGCGTCCTACTAAGCGGAGGTGGGAAAAACTAACCACCATGGCGGAAGATAACACAGAGAGCAGTCAATGGAGAGAAAGTGAGGTTGCTGACTTAATTCATATTTGGAAAGATAGCTCGATTCAGACCAAACTCGAAGGGTCTTACCGGAACCGGGGGAGGGTCTTTCTTTTTGATCTTCTTAAAAAGATTTCGTTCGTAATGTGCCTGCTCCTGTTGGAGAATAACTTAAAGAACGCAATATACGCTGCGGTATTACGAGTCATGTTTACTTCCACAAACACTGAGGACGCTTGCTACATGTGACGTCATCGCGTCCTCGAGTGCGCATGCGGGACACTTCGGTTGAACGCTTTCAGTTCACACAGTAGATCACATACAAGTCGCATATACTTGGAAGTGTGAACAGACACGCAAAAAAATCAGATTTCACAAAAAAATCGGAATTGAGCATTAAGGCCTGCAGTGTGAATGTAGCCTTAGATGTATGGAAAAAAAATGGGTTAGGGTACGAGTTAAAAGAGCCCTTTGAAAAACTACCTGGATAAGCATTTATAAAGGATTAAAAATAAAGGAACAACAAACACAACTCCATTTTAGCCCCCTGTATTTTGAATATCTGATAATTATACATAATTGCTGATTACGTATTTAAAAAGAGTAAATGGGGAAAATAGCCACAGAGCTGCCATTTTCATTAAAAAGAAACAGGAGTAGAACAAAAAACAACCTTAAAGGACTTGACCTTCATTTTTTGTCAAAAAGATTCAAAAGCCTGTTACCTTGAACACTTGAGCGCCTTTCTATCGAGCATGAAGCTCCTAGGAGTGTGATTTATAAAATCCACTTTCCCCTGGTGGGAATTGGTGGTGGTAACAGTTGAGCAAGATGAATAGGCCCCAGTCTAATTCCTTTTTTCAGTGTTCCCTTAATTGGCTCACTGATTTACTGCCCTGGGAGCCTGCATCAGGCTGAGGTGAACATGCTTGGGGAAAAAAATGGGTTAAAAAGGTGATGGATGTGTGGGGATTTGATCTTGATCCGCTTTGACAGTGAAGCATTCAGTAGTCAAGCTTATTTCTTGTGTAATTTTCTATTCTTGTAGTTTCCGACCCTTTTTCTCTATAGCGATTAACCCATGGGGGGGATCCTAATGATTTTACCGCACAGCATGATGGTTTGACTCATTGGAGCAATAATCTGATTTTTTTGCCAGGTTACAGTCAACAAAGATATTCTTTTTATACACTATAGATCAAAATCTCAAAAGCACTTAAAAATTGCAACAATTTATGTTTCACATTATTTGAGTTTAAGCAGGTTTTAAGTAGAACTTGGTTGGAAGAACTGCAAATTACAGCAAGAGGTTGGCTTCAGAGTAAGCCGCTTATTTAAAACAACTATTAAACAGAAATTGTGAATATAAAATGTTAATCAGCTAATTAGTTGTTTAAGATCAAAGCCTTTTAATGCCATAATCTGGGCAAGAATTTGGATTCTTTGTCATTTTCGGTGTGTGCTGCCAAGATCTACTGAAAGCAAAGCATGAAAGCTTACTGACGCAGAATGCAGTAATAAAAATGTTGAGCATGAAAAGGCCTCACAATGTGGTTGGATTTAGTAAGATGGTCATTTTGAATTTCTTAGAAATTCCAGATGGTTACAGGAGAAACGAGGAAAACCAAAAAAGCTCAACGCAGTGCTGATCTGATTCGCTGGTGGTCAAGAAGTGGGATGATCTTCAACCAAAATTGAGGCCATTAATGGTGCTAACTACAGCCAATAGCTATCCTATTTCAACTCTGAGGGAAGGGCTTCAAAAACATTTTCAACTTAGGGCTGGGCGATATGACTTAAATCAATGTCATGATAAATTTGGCAGTTTTACCCCAATAATGATAAATGCATGAAAAATGCTCCGGCTCATCTATCAGAAATAAAGTAATGAACAGGAAAAGCAACTGATCTATTCATAATTTACTTACACAAGTCTTGTCCCATTCAAGTTTAAACATTCAACAATGTCTCGTGAACAGGAGAAAAAAGTTAGCTCTCTTGCAATTACTTGCGCAAGGGTAATGGAGCCTTTTGCACATCTTTGAACTCAACAGTGCTGCTGTGCTGTAGGTGGTGGAGATTGGATGTGTTACTTTGGGTAGTCCCGACAGTTTTCAGACAAACTGTGCATTTCATGTTCTTTTGCTAAACATCTATGGCGTAATTTTGGTGTCACCGAACTGAGCGTGGAGCGAGAACGATAGGCGTCGTTTAAACTTGCATACCTTCACTCAAAACTGGTCTGCCGTGCACTTAACTCAGACAACACGCTCTAGACTGCCTCTCTGCGTACTCAGCTTCATCTCTGCTCTCGCTCAGCTCCACAGGATTAACTGATGTTTACAGCTGTTAGATGCTTCTTCACTGGGTTCATCCATCATTGTCGTTGTTTAATTTTCTGACGGGATCAGTGGAGTCACTTGATTCCCCACAAGCTTCAGCGTCTTAAAGGGGAAGGAAATACCAGCCACCAGCGCACACAGGAAAAACAGAAAAATTACATTCATTTATTTTACCAACATGGGAAAATTGTCACCAGTTATCCTGGTTAAAGACGGCAATGGTTTATATTTGGTTCATTGCCCAGGCCTGCTTTAAAGCTCTGCATTTAACATTAGCAAAAAAACTTGGGGCATTGAAGGTTTGAAAGACAGCTGGCGCTACGGAGATGTTTCAGCTGACTTTCCTAATGACAGGGCTTTCCTCACTGTGGTAATTACTGGCTTTTTTGAGCATGAAATTGTTGCTATTCACAATGCACACCTGACAAATTATTTCTTACAGGAGGATAATTTCCAAAAAGAATAAACAGTTTCAGACGGTGAATGCATGAAGCCAGCGTTGGACAATTGGAACGTTCCCACTAGGCTCCTTGCAAACTTTTGCATCAAGCATGCCCCAATGACTGTTGAGGGAATCAACAAGAAGGGTGGAGCTACTTATTGCCGAGTCATGTTCTGACATGTTGATTTCTTAAACCTTTGGAAAATTGATAAACAGCCCATTTCAATCAATGAGTTGTTTTTAATCAATTTCCTGCTTAAAAGTTTGTGTCTCTCCTTTCAATTTGTTCTTTCAGCATTATGAAGCTATGCTTGGAACGTTTCTAGTATCTAGTAGTACAAAATGGAATTTCTTGAGATTAGTTTTAAGTTTTTTTTTTTTTTTACAATTGATCAGCAGGGTTTTACTTAAAATTAAACCTATTTGGGCTGTTTTGTTTCTTACTTGGTCTGTAAAAGTATGAAGTTAGTAGAAGTATGTAGAATGTAATTTATTGAAGTCTTTACAAATATATAATTAGTAGGTGGAAATTCTGTGACAAGGGAAACAGTTTGATCAAAATTTTTAGTAAAGTAAAGCTGATTTTTAAATCCTTACATCTGTTAATAAATCTGCTTAAATATACATCATACAAACACATCAGTTCGGAGTCTGTCTGTATTCTGATAATGATTTTTCCCTTCAGGTTGGCTTTATCAAGCCCCACCCCATCTTGACACAGATGCAACAGGAAGCCATGGAGACCACGCTGACCTTTGACTCGTCCGTGATGCCGATGCTGTGCCCTCAGGTGCCGTGGACGTCAGTGAAGTTCGGAGCCTACCTCCTCACCCCCGCCAAGCTGATGCGTTCAGTAGATGGGGCCATGCAGCATGAGCAACTGCTGGAGAAGTGTCCGAATCTTCACCCTGTTTTTGACTCGCTCAACCAGCTTGGTAACTGTGCCTGGAAGATCAACAAACCAATCCTGGACATCATCATCTCCATTTTCAACGATCGGGGGAGCGATAAGCTGGACATCCCTCCACCTCTCTCAGAAGCCCCTAAAATACCCCATTTTAACGCTCATGACCCTACTTTCACAGCCAGTGAGAAAGCCCACATGAAACGAGAGGTGATCAATGCCAAGAAGAAGTGCAGCGAAATGCACAGCCTGCGAATGGATGCCCTCTATAAACTCTCCATTGCGCACCACATGCGGGATGAGCTGTTCTGGTTTCCCCACAACATGGACTTCAGGGGACGAACGTACCCTTGTCCTCCATACTTTAACCACCTAGGAAGTGATGTCACCCGGGCGATGCTCGTGTTCGCTGAGGGGAAGCCTCTGGGTCCTAAGGGTCTGGACTGGCTAAAGATTCACTTGGTTAACTTGACAGGGTTGAAGAAGAGAAGCTCTCTACAAGGACGTCTGGAATACGCTAATAGCATCATGGACGACATTCTGGACTCTGCAGACAACCCTCTCAATGTTAGTCTGCCTTCATTTCTTGATCGATATTAGCATTAAGGGTTACGTTATAGTTTTCTTACTAAAAATGACGAACTGCTAACATTCCCCCAAAATGTCTGGAAATGCAGGTTAAACTCATCCCTAAAACTGAGTTAAGTCCTGGAAGTTAAAGAGTTTAAATGCAAAAATATAAGTTCAAGAAGTTACCAATATTTTCTGTTGGTTTTTATCTAAACAGTCTCTTGTGCATTTTTTGTCACTTTTAGGGTACAAAATGGTGGATGGAAGCCGATGAACCTTGGCAGGCGCTAGGCTGCTGCATGGAGATAGCAAACGCAGTGAGGTCACCCGATCCAACCAAGTTCATCTCCCACTTTCCTGTTCACCAGGTACTGTGAAATATTTAACTTTTTAAAGATTTCTGCAGCATTTCCCAGTAGTGTTCTGGAACATTGTAGTTTAAAGAGTACATTTAAAGATCCTCTCTGAGAGGTTTTAGTTGCTTTAATAATCCGATATTCGCAGACTTCTCAATAAAGAAATTGGGAAAGACATAAATGTATTAAAAAGAGCACACATTTATTGTACGAAAAATAATATTCAGGCACCCACTTTAGAGAGTGAAACTGAACTTAGATCTGTCACATACAGAATAAAGGCTTTTAAGCCTTAATTTAATGTAATTTCTAGAATGATGGCTTACAAATGATAAAGCCACAAAATTCATTATCTCTTAAGATAAGAGTATAACAGCACCTCAATTTATAAAATTTGTGTTTTAACTGATTAACATTATGTTATGGCTACATTATGGCATACACCATCATGGGAAAGACTGATGATTTGACAGATGTCCAGAAGATGCTCACTGACAGCTTCCACAGGTCATTGTTAGTGTTGTTAGTGTTAGTCGACCATTCTTAGAAAGGTGTGTTAGAGTAGGTGTACCAGCAAAATCCATTTAAGAATTTGAATTTTTACCAACTATTCTTACACTGTTTTCTCTTTTTTTGCCATCTCTAGTCAGTCCTCCACAGGCTTTTTTACTGATTCTCTGTATTTTTTCAGGATGGTTCCTGCAACGGTCTCCAGCACTATGCAGCTCTTGGCAGAGATGTTATTGGTGCAACTTCAGTGAACCTCATGCCCTGCGAGGTGCCCCAGGATGTGTACAGCGGTGTAGCGCAGCAGGTAGGCACGGCTGGGCTTTTTGTGTGGTTTAGCACAAGTTATTTCTATCCTTTAAACTACAAAAACTTGCTGCGACACAACATGAAATTGCTATTGCGAGGCATGCTACAGTTTGTCAGCGGTAATTATTCCTATGACTCACTAAGTCCCGTAGTGAGAGATAACCGGATCGTGGAGAATATTTAACCATTTCTTTTTTTTTTAGCTCTTGCATTTAAAAGTGCTATGATTATCATGCTGTTTATCAAAGCAGAGAAAGGGAAGAAACTGTTTCTTTTCAGGTTTTATGGTTTGTTTGCGTGTGTATAAAAGCATCCAGGTTGTAGACACGTTTCAAAATGGTCCCATTTGTGATGTACTTGCGATTCAGAACAGCAGGATTCAAGCTGATGTAAGAAGACTCTGCTTCTCCATTTTGGCTCCGACTTTGACCTCAAACTCTATGCTGTAGACCTTGGATAGCTGCAGGACTCTGCCTCAGTGGGCTTTGCCTTCTTCTGGGCTTTTGCGTTAGTAGTAGATTCTGGATGGAATAAATTTTGAAACAGTAAATGGCCAAAATGTAAAAAAATGTCTATCCCTTATTCATAAACCCAAGCTTGTGGGCAATAACCGTGGCATTTTAGACTTAAAATGAGTGCAAATGACGCAAGTTTCTTAACAGATTAATCAAATTATCAGCCCTAAGCATCTCAGATGGTAGGATTTGTTTCATAAGAAACCACTTTAGCTTGGCTTGAGTATTTCCTTAACATAACATTGGTAGAGAGTGGCGAGAATTTTAGCCTGATCTCATCAAAGGCCATTTCTTAGGGCTTTTTCACATTTTAGATGTGTGAATTTGGGGAATCTCTGGGTAATAAGATGCATCTTTCCTGTACCGTACTAAATCCTAATAAATTCCAGTAAAACTCATAATTGTAATGAGAAAAAAGGAAATATTCCAAAGGTGTGGATCTTTTTCAAGGCCCCCTTTAGGCAGATGTCTTTTAAAACAAAAATGTATCACTGAACTAAACAAGCTAATAATGTTTTTTTTTTTTTTCCTTTTTCACCCTCCTGTTTCATTCAGGTGGAAGAGTTGCGAGCTCGGGATGCAGCAAAGGGCCTGAAGATTGCTCAGGTTCTGGAGGGTTTCATCAGCCGGAAAGTGGTCAAACAGACTGTGATGACTGTGGTGTACGGAGTCACACGGTATGGGGGCCGCCTGCAGATAGAGAAGAGGCTAAAGGAGATTGATGAGTTTCCCAAGGTACAGTGGTGGGTGGTAATAAATTAATGAAAATCTGTTGTGTTTTTAGCATTAATTCAACTTGATATTTACGAGCAGCAATTTAAACATATTACTTCCTGTTTTTTCCTTTTACAAACAGAATATTACTGCAACTTTAAATATTTTTGTTCTTTTCTTCTCAGAAAATGTAAGTGAAATGCAGTCAAAGTAACTAATGTAATTAATTTGAGGCCAGTAGTTAATTATCTAGACTTACTGCATTTAAAATCAAAACCTATATTTGTGACAACAGACCAAGTTTTTCAATTTCCTCAAAATGTTGTTAACAATTAAAACAATAGATTAGAAAAATGTCTATTATTATGATGATGGTAATGTACAGCCATGTCTACCTCAATTTGAGTTTTTAAAAGCTATACATATTCAGATTCATTAACTTTCAAAAGTCTGGTGAGAAACTGGTTTCTTTACTCTCAATATACTTCTAAATTCTATGACTGTATTGGAGAAAATGAGATACTTCTATATACTTACAGATCAGGGTTCAACCATTCTGTGCCACTCCTTACAGTGCCTGCATATTAATGGAGATGTGATCTTTATTGCTTTAAGTTTTATTTCTTGACATAAAAGGTTTTTCCCAATACTTTCAATCTAAAAGTTCCATAATTATCCAAACATCAATAAAGTAGAATGATTAAATTCAAAGTATTCTGGCTTATAAACACTGACACATTTTTTTATTTTGTTTTTATTTTGCCTCATTGTCATTCACAGATCCTCAATGCCTTCAAATTATAGATATGTGTTCTTTAGCTTTACTGTTATCTGCTTTATTATATATCTCTGTGTTTAAACAACACTGCCTTTGGCTCTTTGCTTCCAGTAAGTGATCAAACATGTGGGGGGTGGAGCAATACAAAGCTAGCAGGTCATTTGCATTTGGAAACCTAATATTTACTAGTCTAAACAATATTTTAAATGGCATATATGTACACTATAGATTTTACACTGCCTTTAGTTTTTCACATGTAATTTTTTTGGACTTAACTACCGGTAATCAAAAGTGAACTTATTTATGTCCCAGCTGTTATTAAACCTTAAGATGGTTTAAAGAAGCATAGATTTATGCGCCAAGTGACATTATTTGAAGTGTGTGCAACAATCTGAACATTTTTTATTGATCACAATACTTTGTGAATATCCCTATTTAAAATAAATGAATCTGTATTGGGGATAGTTTTGTTTGTTTTACTGTTCTTTGTGTATATATATATGTATATTATTATTTTTATTATTTTTTTTTGTCAGGGAGTGCAGATGAAAATTTAGCTCTGGGAGCTTAAATCTAGTACTTTGCTTTGATATTTAATGCTCCTATACATGCCTCAAGTTCGGTAAACTGTACAAAGTAAACAAATAAATAGAGTTTAATTTAATAGGCTTCTAAGAAAGTGTTTGTTTTAAGGGTGATAAATGATTGTAGTGAAGAAAATCTTTATTATTGTTGAAATGGTGTATGGACAAAATATTAATGGTTGCAGATCATTGTCCAATGGTTTAACGATTCGATTCATACCAACTTCAAACCATATAATGAACTTTTGTTTGTTTACGTTATCATCTGACTAATATTACCAAAGTAATTTAGAAATATATTGATTTCAGCTTATGTACACTACAGCTATTTATGTTTTCCAATTTTTTCCTTTGTTACTATTTTTTGGTCATAAAGGATTTGATGATTGTATCTGTACCTGCGTAGGATAATGGTAATCTACCAGGCATTTAATCCAGATTATCTATTATATTTCCAAATACATTTTCAAAACACATAAAGGAATTTACACATTTCATACAGAGGGCAGCAGAACTATGTCTTTCAGCACCTAACCAACTCAATGTTTTATGACTTCCACTAAAGTCCTGCACTGGTTTTAACTGAGATTTCGGTGGAGCTATAATTGTGACCGATTATGATGGGGATGTGCTTCGAGCATAAGATTGCACCTACTGTGGAGGAGATCATGTTCCTGTAATATGAGGATAATTACAATCCACAGTCCTGCAGTTTATATCCCTTATTTCCATCACACATTGGATTTACATCATTAGGTTGGACAGTAAATGCAACTAAGAGTTAAAAGAAATGTTTTTATTTTATTTAGAAGTAACACAATTAAGAGCATAATGATGTTTTTCTATATCTCAAGGACCATGTGTGGGATGCATCCCATTACCTTGTGCGCCTGGTGTTCAGTGGTCTAAAGGAGATGTTTACAGGAACTAGAGAGATTCAGGTGAGCCGATATTGTTGTTTACACTATGAATGGTGGCATCTAGCCTCTTTATTCCTTTTTATGTTACAGCATGCATTTAATATTTTTTTAATTCTCCCTAACAGAAAAAGGCAATACACACAACTACTTGTTATGGATCTTTAAGGTCCTGAGGGTCACAGGTTGACTGTATTGTGGATCAGGCTTGCTGTAGCACAAATTTATCCTCAATGAGATTGACATAGGTTTTCTTTTTTTTTCAATTGTTTATTTATTGGATTTTCATTTTGTTATTCTAACACAACATTCTGAACACATAGGTAAGCTGAGAGGGAAAAAATAAATAATTACAAATATTAAGGGTGTATACGTAGGTTGGGAGTAGGGGTGGGTATCGCCAAAGAAGTCACGATTCGATTCAAATCACGATTCACAGGCCACGATGCGATTCTATCACGATGCATCACGATACTTGAATTATTGCGATGCATTGCAATATTTTGTCCTCCATGTTTTGTTTTGGAATGACTCTGCACAGTATCCCGCGGCCGGAAATGCTTGTGACACAAGGCAGCGTGCGTCAACACATTTGCAGCCACATCTACTGGACTGGAAGTGGTATTACACTTGTTTTTGGCTGATGTTCGCCAACCATTCATGCAATTTTATTTATTCATTTTTTTAAATTAATAATCGATTCTTGGCATCAAGAATCGATGCAGTAGATCACGAAAATTAGAATCACGATGCATCATCATCACGATTATTTTGCACACCCCTAGTTGGGAGGCAGAGAAACTAAATAAGTTAAATATAGCAAAAAAAACAAAAACAGAACAACAACAACAAAATAAAGAAACAAAATATTAAAAATAAACATATACAATAAAATAAGTCACGTGTATCATTGTTATCAATGTTATTAAAAAAAAAAAAAAGGACAGGTAAGCACAATTACAAATCATGTGTTAGGTCAAGATGGGGTATCACATAGAAGGAAGTCAGGTGATGATCAAGGGTTCCAATGTTTGAGCAAAAATATCTCCTTTACCTTTCAAGTGGTAAGTATAGTGCTCCAGTTGCATTGTGTCATTCATTACTGTTTTAAATAAATGAATTGTAGGTGCTGTGGCTAGGGTTGTCACGATGCTAAACTTTTCAAGTCGATACCGATACAAAGTAAAATATTCGATACTCGATACCATTTTTGATACCACAAGGATAAAAACAAAGACTCCAAAATTCAACAGAAATTTTCTTTAATAATATAAATACAATAAACAATAAGAACAATATTTTGAGGTTGTATGCTGTGCACAATATTAAGCAAGATTGATAAAAAACTTACAAAATTAAAATTAGGTGTTCCTTCCTTGGCTATGCTTTGCACACATAACAGCCAAACTAGTTAAGAAACAAAAATAATTCTCAGCAGCTGCACCTGTTACAAAAGAAAAGTGTGAAACTGAAAAATGCGTAGAATTATTCAATCACACAGTGTTCTGAAAGTGCATTGTCCTCTATTCTGCACTTTAGGTGCCACTGGCAGTATCGATACTTTTTTGAAAATCGATACTTTTGACAACCCTAGCTGTGGCTTGATTCCAGTTGAGGAGTATACATTTTTTAGCTACATAAGCAATTATACCAATCCTTTTATTAGAGATCAGGTCTAGAGTGTTATCTGAATCTCTACCAAAGAGATAGACATAGGTTTTTGTTTATAGGGTTTTTCCTGCCGTTATAGACCAGTTGTTCTTCAGATTAACCCAGTTCAAAGAGCTCCATGTTCCTCAGCAGAACATGGATGGTCAGGAATTACTCTACAGTTGGCTGGGATCGTTCAAGGGAATTCTGCTTCCTGCCATAAACATCATTAGGGTCAATACTTTGCAAAAATGCCTTTAGAAATAATTATATGTGTGGATAGTTGGTTAAGTTTTTTATCTATGTTGCCCTGTGGTCGTCGACCACTGAAGATGGGCACCAGGTCCCCCATGATTCTGGTTAGACAAGCGTGTGTAGAAAAGGAAGCAAGAATGTATATTTGGACAGTTAACTTTCAGTTGCTACATCTTAATGACCTAATTTAGGTCTTAGCTGGTTTTTAATTACATTTTAGGATCTTGATTTCTTTGTTAGACCTGTTTAAAACTCTTGACAGCAGACTACATCCTAGTGGTTAGGGCATAGAGTTTGGAATCCTGAGGTTCTGAGTTCGAGCCCAACACCCACAGACTGCCACTCTAGGTCTCTGAGCAAAACCCTTAACCCCACACTGCTCCCCGGGCTCCCCACGATGGCAGCCCACTGCTCCCCAAAGGGAAAGGTTAATGCAGAGGTACATTTCTCCAATGTGAGAAAAATAAAGTTCAATTATTATTATTATTACCAGATTGTTTTGAATATTTGAATTGATGATAAATTAATGAATTAAACAAAACATTTTTTGATTTAAGAGGATTCATCAGTCAAATGGTCTGATAATGGATTCCGCTTATTTTCCTTAAACTGCATTGGAACTAAAATAAAGAAAAGAAAAATACTTCACAATTTTTTTTGCTTTATTAGAATGCAAATTTATGCTACAAAGATATGCTTTAATGCTAAGATAGGGTTAATCTTAATTCCTTCATGTACTCAGGGATTAAAGTATTCCGGCCCCAGGCTGAATTTCCTATCGTAGCGATTGGTCATGTATAAAAAAAACAATATCACTCGAAAATAAATTGACGGTAAATAAATAAAAAAAGACAATTGAAATCCCCCTTGTGTTTGTCAGCCAATGATAGCAAAGGAGTGCTCTGAAAGCAACAGTATCAGCCAAACAGAAGAAGAAGGGTGCGGGTCTTACGAAAACGTGTACCTCCTCCTCTCGTTTCTCGCTCAAGTTGCCAGATAGATTGTGATACAGTGCTGAAGTTCTACATGGAAAGTCACATTGCGTCGTTTACGGCTCCATTCAACAGAGAGATCTGTTAAAAGTAAAAAAAAATAATAATTACATGAAACTTTGTGTTTGTAGAGAAGGACGATAGAGAGAACGTAATTGCATGGAGTCGGCACAATGCAGTTCACGAACTCCGGCATGCTTTAATCCCTGTGTACTGTTTATTTTAAACCTTCTTCCTCTGTTTTTATCTCTTATGTTGGAAAGTGTAGTTGTTCAACCCAGTTTGAGAACCCCCCACCACCACCACACCAAACTTTGGAGCTGACATTCTGCCAGTGTGGATGTGTGTCTGTTACACCTGCTGCTGATTTAGGTCACATCCTCTGGTGTTTCATTGACAGATGTTATCTTAACTAGGCGCAGAGATGTGATCAATCCTCGATGCAATCATCTCTGACCTCTGCTGCAATCTTTCCTAACTCTTCTGGTCATTTCTGTCAAGCAGTGATCTGATTGTTTGTCCTCATCCTGACTCTGTGTATTTATGCTTTTACTTTAGTGTCTTTGCTTCAGTATGAGTCTTTTGCAGATTAATGGTGTTGCTTTGGGTCCAAGTTCTGCCGCTAGTTTCTAGGACAAAATATCTGTGAGTGTTTGTGTGTCTCTAAGGCAGTAATGCTTCCTTTTTTGGTAAACTGTGTCAGACACTTATGCAGACAGGGTTTTTGCAGGTTTTATTGTGAGCAACAGCTTTTTACCTGTTCCACAACAAGGCCACAGCAATTGCTGACCTGTCTTTTACCCAGAGCAACAGAATTAAAGATGAGATCCCAAGATAATTTTTTGATGTAGCTGGCCGAAGTTTCTGGATTCTGTGGTTTGAGATGTACCAGAGGATCTATTTATGGGTCTGATTTATTAAATTTTGATCCGACAGACCATGAAAGCTTTATCTCAGTGAACTCAGTCATTTGAACATGTCCACATACACAAACATCCACTTGCCAGCATGGACATGGCCATATGTGCATAGCAAATATTTAACTGATGCTGCAAGTCTTCTGCATTTGCTCATCAGTATGTGTCCTTTCTTTCCCGCTGTCGGTGTCCCGCTGTTGCAGGACTGGCTCACAGAAAGTGCCAGGCTCATCTCCAAGTCTGGCCACACTGTGGAGTGGGTGACACCCCTGGGTTTACCGATCGTTCAGCCTTACCACCGCACACGCAGCCAAGTGGTGAGTCTCATCATTAGACTTATTGTTTTCATTAAAAGGCAGAGCTTTCACTTAAAAACACATAAAAATACTCAGACATTTAGTTTAAACAGCTACTTTTCCTTGTAAAACTATTTAAATATCTTTATAATATCCTGCTAAAACTTTACTGTCAAACTGTGTTTATACTGAGATGAAATCACACATATGTGGGCTCTATTCTCCAAGGAAAACTGTTTTACTAGAATTTAATTAATGGGCATCAGAGCGAGGAGAATGAACACACATGCACCACCACTTTTTATGCTTGAATCAATAAATATATATCATTTTAAAACAAAACATGAAAAACAGTGGTATGATTTTTTTCATGGCGCTGTAAAAGCCAGTTTATATTTGTCTACCTTTGCTTGAGTTTTCCACTTGACCTTTCATATTTCCTTTAATTTTGTCTCTATTTTCACATTTCCTAATGAAGTCATAACTGACCTTTTCATAAAAGACAGGTTTTTGCATGTAATAAATCTGAAATCGGAAATGGGGCCTGTTTACACAGTTGTAGTCTTTTCGCTTCACTCTGTGTACTCCGACGTCGAGAATCAAGAATCCACCTTTCGTATTCCATTTTCAGAGTTTTTTAAAGTGTTTAACAGAGACGTTAGCACCTCGACGTCGGAGTACACAGAGTGAAGCGAAAAGACTACAACTGTGTAAACAGGCCCCATTTCCGTTTCCGGTGGCAGGGGAATATTGACTATTCCAACAGAACTCAATGGGATTTACAAAATGCTAAATAAAACACTACAGGAACGTTTTTTCTTTACAAAACTTTTTTTGGAACGTCATTGAACAGCGCTGACGACCCGGTGAGTAGCATATTTAAAAAAAAGAACGTTTAAGGTTGTTTTAAGGACATTATCGGACATGCACTATGGAAGCCGTTCTGAAGCAGCCAGGGGTGGATTCTAAATGAGCCAAAAAGCAGAGACAGGACCAATTGTCAAAATTTTGGTGTCGATCATTCGATTTCATCCTGGACACTACAGAAAATGGGCTAAAAGTGTTAAAAACCGGAATTCTCCTTTAAAAGAACTCAGGCTTTGAGCACTTTTACAGTCTTCTGGGAGTTTGTGCAGGTAAGTACAGCATAGGAACCAAATGCTGCTTCTCCATGTTTGGTTCTAGTTCTGGATGTACAGTTTAGACTTGAACTAGAAGACCTGAGTGGTCTGGGTTGTTAATACACTGACAACAAATCTTAAAGGAATAGTACACCCAAAACATGATTAGCCTTCATTTTCTACTCACCCCCATGCTGAACAACACTCTGGAGTACTTTTTTGATATCTCAAATGCATCTGGAGATCTGGGAGGCTTCTTGCTGTCTGCTGACATTCAAATAATGGAGGTCTATGGTGCCCGAGGCAGAAAGGTCCATAAAAGTCCACAAAAAACGTGTCAATATTCCTCCATGCTGCTCGTCCAATGTATTCCAAGTGTCCTGAGTGGGTAGCGTCCAGAATTTACTCGAAACAAAGTCATTTAGAATGTTTTTAGAGCATAAACAGTAGTGTATAGGATTTCCTGAAAGCGCGCACATGCGCGTTCACGACGCTACGGAAGCCGGCAGACCAAACCAGCGCATTCAACTCGGCAAAGAACTCATGCTCTTCCTCAACACTGAAGTCCTCAGACATTTTTCTTTCGTTGTTTCTTTCTTTGCACAGGTAAACGGCACATTTCTTCTTCTACACTTGCATTATTTGCAGAGCAGACGCTGAATGCGCACTTTCATCTGGTTTGGTCTGCCGGCTTCCGTAGGCTCGTGAACGCGCATGTGCGCGCTTTCAGGAAATCCTATACACTACTGTTTATGCTCTAAAAACATTCTAAATGACTTTGTTTCGAGTAAATTCTGGATGCTACCCACTCAGGACACTTGGAATACATTGGACGACCAGTATGGAGGAATATTGACACGTTTTTTGTAGACTTTTATGGACCTTTCTGCCTCGGGCGCTGGGCACCTCCATTATTTGAATGTCAGCAGAAAGCAAGAAGCCTCCCAGATCTCCAGATGCATTTGAGATATCAAAAAAGTACTCCAGAGTGTTGTTCAGCATAGGGGTGAGTAGAAAATGAAGGCTAATCATGTTTTGGGTGTACTATTCCTTTAAGGTTCCGGTCTGAGTCCATCATGACACCAAGATTTGAGCCAAAATCACTGGTTTCTAGCTGTAGTAGCTGAAGCTAAGAGCTAATTATGGATCTCTTCTCCTTTAGTCTGAAGATTTTTACCTCTGTTTTGCTTTTATTCAATTGGGGTTAATGATGGCATAGCCATGTATTGAACTGTTCTAGGAGCTAGCCAACACTCTGTTGGGTTCATAGGCACCTGGTGACATTGTGATGTAAAGCTGTGTGTCATCTGGGGAGCATGTTGATGTTGAATAGGCAGGGGCCCCAAAATGGAGCCTTGAGGAATCCCACATGGGATTTTTCTGGTTTCTTATGTAAAGTTCCCAACTGACATAGAAGTCCCTCTTCTTCAGGTAGGATATAAACCAGTCCATTGCAGTACCAGAAAGGCCAACCCAGTTTTCCAGATGCTCCAATAAAATCAAGTTATCAACATTATCAAAAGCTGCACCGAGATCCAATAATATAAGCACTGTGGTTATTCCAGAGTCTGAATTTATACAGATGTCAATGAACACCTTAGTCAGGGCCATCTCTGTACTGTGGTTGGGATGGAAAGCAGACTAAACTAAACCTTTTGTTAGTCAATGTGGACTTCTGCAAATTTTGGTTCTTTTGTTAGGTTGATTTTACAGCATTGCCCTCTGTGTTAGTAGGTGGATCTCCATCAGCTTTTCTAATGTGCATTTTGAAATATCCCATCAGAAAAGCCTGATGGAAACTGAAAAATTGGAAAAGAACTGCCTTTTTACGTATGTTTGAAGTGTGTTTTTGCTTTTATGAAAAAATAAGATCTACAGTATATCAATCTCACTGCTCCCAAATTACAACTGAGATCTTTTTTATGATGGGCAAAAAGTCTTCCAGAAGACTTCACATTCAGGTGCCTAATCTGTACTCAAAGTTAATGTAAGAACGACTTCCCTGATTGCAACACATTCATTAAAACGTTCCTCCATTACTGATCAGTGCTAGATTTCACCCGCTACTTCCTGTTTATTACAGTTATGCATAACTTAATATGGACAACGAAATAGGACCGCAATACGCTTTGCAGTTTGTTAATTTGTTCCAAACCAAATAGAAACATCACAAATTTGCATTTTCCTTTTTTTTTTGGGTGCTCTTAAAATTCGCATTTCACTTTAATAGAAACATGGCTACTGTTCCTAAGGGAATCTTTTTATTCATTGTGGGCATTATGGGCACCTCATATATTTTATGATTGACTTAAAAATTTTTTGGCTCAGATTAGTTAAAACCAGGACAAAACTGGCTTTTTCTAAAGCTTAATGAAACCAAACAAGAGGCAACTTAAGGAAGGGGATTAACCAAGTATTGGAGATAGTTTATGTTAATACAATATTTGATCCTGTTTGGATAATTAAAATTTATTTAGGTTATTTTTTGTAAAGTCATTTCAACCTGCAAAAGGGACCAAGTTAAGTATTGCTCCAAACTCCTTACTACATTAAATTAATTTCAATGGTGAAATAATTAACCTTTTTATCAAAACATAACATCTGTTTTCTTAGTCTTTTTTTTTTCTTTTTCTTTTTTATTGGCTAGTTGTCTTAGGCTTTCCAGAACTAATTTGGAAAGCCTAAGTTGTTTTTTTTTTTTTTTTTTTTGTTGCGCCACTGATGGTGTATTCTGATTACTTCAAGTGGTACAACGTGAATGGACCACAGCATTGGATGTTTGTTTGTTGCTATGGAGATTCTGACAGTAACACATCTTAGAGATGACATGATGACTGCAAGCCAGTACGTCTGCAGATAAAATGGCCTTGTGCATGCCATACAAATAGGAATTGTTCATGTCTATATAGCTGAGGATCCTCTTAACTTCCTGACTCTCAATGAAGTGAAGGAAGGACGCAGACATGTTTCTGATCAGACAAGTCACTGATGGGCTTTCTCAGTATTCAACCTGCTCTTTTAGTCTAACATCAAGCATAGGGTTGCCTTAGACAGGAGATGTCACCTCAGAAGCAGGTGCAAAACATTTATAGTGACAGAAACTATCTTCTCTGAGTATTTCTCTCTCTCAATGTTTGTAGATATTTGTAGATAGATTAGATTAGGTCAGATTTCCCTAATCTGACCTGTTTCTTTTAAGAGGACAAGAAAGGAGATAAACTGAGATTTATTTACTCTTCAAGGCCTAAAAATAAATAATAAGAATAAACAATTACCTTAAACAAGGATTTACAGATAACTTTCATGATCCCCTGCAATAATTCGCTAATCCAGTTGCATCACTCGCAACAAAAATGAAACCATCCTGTAGAAAGGTCACCTTTGCCAAGCGTAGCTGGATTAAATGTAATCTCCCAGCGTCCTCTCCATATCTAAAATACAAAGCCACTGTGTTCCTGTGGGTTATTATTAATTAGATTATATATGGAAGACTAGAATGGAGAATAATGTGTAGAAAAACAGAACGTAAGATGAAGCCAGCTAATGTTGCGTCCCACACTTGCATTCATTTGTAGAGAAATGCTGGGGAATCAGAAAAAGTTATCTAAGCAAAAGAGACAATGAGCAGAATTCAAAGAGGACTGGAAGATACTAATCCAATCAGAGGTCATTTTGGTTAATTTGGGTCATAATCAATTTATTTTTTTTACACTCTACACTCTACCCAGTGAGGGTACAGCGTAATCTTGTTCTCTGTGGACGGTAACTCGAGGGATTCGTCAGATGGATTGGCTGGATTTGACCGGATTTGTGAGTCTATGGTGTGACTAAAAGCTTTTCATCTAATGTCCTCTGTGTGAAAAAAAATTAGGCTCCTTTGAGTTTCACTGATCACTGAGT